TTCTCAATGCAAGGTTCTAAAACGGTATATAACTCAGAAAGCTTAAATCAAAACGATGGAATCATTATATACATTAAAGATGACAATATTAGAACACCGAGAAACCATACCAATTGGACAAAATAAAATAATTAGTATAAAACTAAAATATGACAGTTATTCTACACAAAGCATAGATATATACAGAACACCATCTTCTTTAATCGAAGACTTTTATTCTCATTTGGAGAATTACTTAGGACTAAGTCAACACAATAAAGATGTAGGTGACTTGAACATAAATATACTCATAAACCAAAACTATGGGACACTTACACAAATCTTTTAAACTATCTTGGCTTTATCTCATATAGACATATACCTACTCGTGTACAAAATAATTCAACATCATGCATAGACCATATATTTATTAGAGATTTGGAATGTATATATATCTAAAAACAAGACCCAAACAAAAAAATCTTAAAAAATAAAGAAATATTATTAAGAAACTAAAATTCTATATTAATACATGAACAAATACAATACAAATACAAATAAAATGAGTTAAAGTAAAAAGAAATAAATCGGTCAACAATCATGTACTACAAAATAAAAGGAAGAAAGATGGCATACAAAGCAATGCGTATAAATCCAACTTCAGCAAATATAGAAAACTATAAAAAGTCACGAAATAAATTAAATGAAGCAAGTATCAAAGCTATATATATATATATACAGGGTTATCCAAATTAAGTGTCCACCATTAGTAACTTTGTTATTAGTGAAAATACAAAGTTGTTTGAATTAGCAAACTAGTAGCATTTTTTACGCTGGTAAAAATGAGAAATAAAAAAAAACAATTGAGAGTCGTTATTTTGATTTTTTTTCAGTAAAATAACATTTTTTTAAATGGAAACCCCTGTATATTATATTTTTTTCTGTTAAAGCATCAAATTTTAAACAAAAAGGCTTACAATAACTTTTCTCCTAGGTTACAAATTGTTGAAGTTATGGCCTCCAATCTGAAACAATTAAATTGTATCGACAAACTTTATTTTCAACATCAACTTATAATCTTACAAAATACAATAACAATTTTTTTTAAAGAAGATGCTCGAAAACACCACCTTGTTCTTCAATACATTTTTGGGCACGTTTTTCAACTGCTCGAACTGTCTTAAGTATGGTCCTACCATCTATCTGGGTTATCTTTTCCCTAACTGCCGTCTTTAACGCGTCAAGGTTATCGTACCTTCGCTTGTAAATTTGGTTCTTTAAGTAACCCCACAAGAAGTAATCAAGTGGGTTTAGATCTGGTGATCTGGGAGGCCACTGTATTGGGCCATTTGTTCCTATCCACTGATCATTAAAAGTAGTACTTAGAAAATGATAAGTACCTCTGGAGTTGTGGGCAGGTGCGCCATCTTGCTGAAAATGCAGATGATGTCTACTTATAAGATCCAATTCGTCTAAGAAATTAGTCAGAATTTCTGACATAAATTCCACATATCTTTCACCAGTTAGGGTTCCCTCATAAAAGAACGGGCCAACAATTTTTGAACCAATTATACCGCACCAAACGTTGAAACTGAAACGGACTTGTGGGCCTCTTGGATGTACTAACAAAAGATTTTCTCTTGACCAATAATGGTGGTTTTTTCTATTAAACATTCCAGAATTTGAAAAATTTGATTCATCTGTCCATAAAAGGTAACGAAAGTTATTTACACTTTGGCGACAGAAGCTAAGATACCAATGGCAAAAAACAAGTCTTCTCTCTGGATCCCCTGCCAAAAGCGTTTGAACTGGTCGGTACTTATACGGAATAAATTTTTATTTTTTTAAAATCCTTTGAACAGTACCATAACTGAAATTAGAGTCCTTGAGAATATCTGCTATTGAATTCTCACGATAAGCTTCAAAATATCCAATAACTGCAATTTCCGTGGCCTAGCTTATTATGAATTCTTTTTTTGCCCTTGTTTTAGCAAAAACATTTTCGTTGCCCCTAAATTTTCGATAAAGTCTCAGAAAATATCGTTCATACGGTTGAATGCGAGCGGGATATAATTCACTGTAGTATTCTCTTGCTCTCAAGGAGGATTTTCTGCACACTAAATAGCATTCTAACATATCACACTTTTCTTCATGGGAGAACATTTTTCTTTAAATTAATGACACAATAAAGCTTATAAACAAGTATTTACACTAATGTTTGACATTATTTGATTTTATCATTGTTTTCCAAAGCCTTCTAGTTGCGAGTATGTCCAGTTTAACAATTTGTCGCTTATCTTAATGCTGTCAAATCGCGAACGCCATGTTGTTTTCATAGCCGTCTTAATATTATAATACTGCAAATAATTAAAAATATTTATCGTTATTTTGACTTTATTTTTGACTTTAGCGGAAAAGTCATTATGAACTTTTTTGTTTAAAATTTGATGCTTTAACAGAAAAAAATATAATATACAGGGGTTTCCATTTAAAAAAAAATTATTTTACTGAAAAAAATCAAAATATCGACTCTCAATTGTTTTTTTTTATTTCTCATTTTTACCAGCGTTAAAAATGCTACTAGTTTGCTAATTCAAACAACTTTGTATTTTCACTAATAACAAAGTTACTAATGGTGGACACTTAATTTGGATAACCCTGTATTGTTCGAGAAAATTAATGTAATAATTGAAGAATGCAATTTATCAATAAATATCTAGTAGCTCTGGAATATGTCACTGGCTTTTGACATCTGACAAGTCTGTTATTCAAATATGTTCGCTGTGACATCTTTTTCATTATTTATTTTTTACAATCTTGTTAATAATGGTGAATTATTCAAATGCAGAAATGGCGGAAATGCATTACGTATATGACCTTGCCGACGGTAATGGTGAGCAGGCCAGACGGATTTATAACCAGAGATATCCCGACCGTCCTTTGCCAGATAGTCGAACCTTTTCTAATATTCATCGTCGTCTTCTTGAAAATGGTTCTGTCCAAAACATCTGAAGGTAGAAATCTAAGACGGAGAACACCTGAAATTGAGGAAGCAGTGCTGCACGAAGTCGAAGAACATCCTGAAACGAGTACGAGGAAGATCGCTAGACACTTAACTATTTGCCATCAAATTGCATGGAGAATTTTAGTGGATTTCTAGTTATATCCTTACCATATTTTAAGAGTACAGGCATTACTTCCCATTGATTTTCCAAGGCTTGTGACCTTTTCCAGTGGTACCTTCAAAAAATTACACAAAATCCGCAATTTGAATCAATGACTCTGTTCACGGACGAAGATAATTTTTGCCGAAATGCCATTCAGAATTTCCACAATAATCATTTGTGGGCAGAAGAAAATCCCTATGCCGTAACCGAAACCCATTTCCAACACCACTTTTCGGTTAAGGTATGGGCAGAAATTATTGATACCCACTTTGTTGGCCCATTCTTCTTGCCGGGACGACTTGACGGACAGACTTAACTCAATTTTCTTCAACAACAGTTGCCTTTGCTGCTTGATGATGTTCCGTTAGTAATAAGAAACAATATGTGGTACATGCATGATAGTGCACCAGCGCATTTCAGTGTAGCGGTTCGTAATTATTCACAAACTGTTTATCCAAATCGTTGGATGGGCCGCGGTGGGCCTCAAGAATGGCCACCAAGGTCCCCAGACCTCAACAGTTTAGATTTCTTTTTGTGGTGCTATCTTAAGACACTAGTGTACACAAGTCCCATTAACACTGTAGAGGAATTAAGTCTAATAATAGTTGCAGCTTGTGGTAGAATAAAAAACACTCCAGGGATATTTCAACGAGTGCGCAATTCCATGAGAAGGAGGGAGGAAGCATGCACACTAAGTGAAGGGGGTCATTTTCAATAATTTTTGTAATCAGTTTGTTGGTTTTAATGTTATGTTAATGTTGTCAATTGTTGTTGTTCATTACCCCTAATGTGTTGAATTTTTCCAACTAAATTTAAATTTGCAAGTTAGGCAATAGAATATTTTTTTACTCAAAAATGGCGCATCGAACGAAAACAGTTCAAGAAAGACCATTTGCTTTAAATTGAACGGGGAATTCAAAAATAGTTTTTATTTGGCCAGAAACCATTGGCGTACTATTTTTTCTTAAAACATATCGAAGTCAGTACCCGTACGCACGCCACTGTTAAAGTTGAAAATTATTTTTGCATTGAAAAATATGCAACTTTATTAACTTTCACTACGTACTGAATATCAGTGAAATATTTTTTTCCTAAAACTTCAACACCCCGAGTTTTTGTAAGGAAACATTTTAGACAATAGTTTATAAAGCAAACTAACGTTAATTTTTCATATAGATTCACACCCTTAAATATTTGCATATGATTAAGGAACACCCTGTACATACACAACGACTATACAACTCGCTCATCCTTAACATAAGACTAAACAGTGCTAGTGAACCTTAGACAACCATTAATGCCTCAACTAGAAATCCCACTGAACTATTTATTAACTAGTCCCTCGCTCACTAAAAGTAATGGTTACATAATTTCAGAAGCATAATTATTCACGGATTCAACTGATTCTTAATCTATCAGTTTATAGTCCAAAAGTAATCCATCATTGAATGAAAAAAATTGTACTGTTAATAACTAAAGTCGCGCAGAGCGTACGCACTGAAAATATAGGCAAGCTGGATTTACATTGCGAACTACATAGTTTCACTGGATTAGTTTGGAATAGCGGTGAAGGCACCTCCAACGTTTTGCATAGTGACCAACTGCCAAATTTATAACCTAATGCAAATCGCACATTAGGCGGGAATATTCTTGAAAGCATAAGGTGGCCAGAAGAATTAAAGATTTATTAACTATTGAAACTAACACGTGTTAGCAAAATGTAGAGGTTACTATAAAAAATGACATTTCGAAAGAATTTTCAATAGTTAATAAATCTTTAATTCTTCTACGAGGGATGTCTTTTAAGTTTTGCATATGGAAATAAAACAACACGGTCGGTAGTTTTAAATTACGTTATTGTTTTTCGAAGTATTCTCCACGAAGATTAATACACATCTGCATGCGCTCGAACCAATTTTCGAAGAACTTATTCCACTTGTTTGCTGGCAGATCCAAAACGGCATTTTTGAATGCGTCAACTGCTTCTTCTGGTGACTGGAACCTTTGACCATGCAGTCTGTTTTTAATTTTCGGGAAAGTAAAGAAATCGTTAGGGATCGGGACTATATGGAGGATGTCCAATAATTCAACGTTTTCTTCCGTTAAATACTGCCTTGTTTCTTGGGCTGTGTGCGAGCTTGCATTGTCTTGGTGGAGGATGATTTTTCTTTCGGGGTTGATTTTTCGAAGTTCGGTGATGACTTTTGACAAACAAATGGTGGTATACCAATCCGCAGTAACAGTTCTTTGCTCATTAAGAGGAATTGTTGCAATATGACCCGCTTTTGACACAAATGTCGCGACCATCATTGTCGAAACACTTCGAGAACGGATGACTTTTGTTGGCTTTTCTTCGCCTTGGAACACCTAAACAGCCGACTGTCGTTTATTTTCTGGTTCATAACAGTAAATCCACGATTCATCACCACTAACAATGCTGTACACATACTTTGAGTTTCCGGAATTGAAACGGTCAAGCGTTTTTTGACACCAATCAACCCTGGCTGCTTTCTGCTCTTCAGTCACCAGTATCCAACGAGAAGCTAATTTTCTTACGCCTAATTTTTCATGTAAAATTTTTTGAATTGAGGTCTTTGAGATCTTCAAGGACGCCTCGATCTCGCGATATGTCACATGTCTATCGTCAATGACGAGTTTGCGCACAGAATCGACGTTCTCCTGAGTGACTGCCATTTTTGGTGCACCCACCCTGGGATCGTCGCTAAGACTCACCCGTCCACGTTTAAATTCTCCATACCAATGGGAAATTGTCGACTGATGTGGCGCTTCGTTGCCGAAAACAGACAGTAACTCAGCACGGCATTATTGTTGCGATAATTATCTCTGAAAGTTGTAATAAATTATGGCGCGAAAATGTTATCGGTTGAGTTCCATTTTTCTATTGACTTGTTGACACTTAAAAATAAACTGTAGTGAGAACACTGCACGTATTATTGTGAAACTTTGAATTTAAGTTTACTAAAGAGTGAGGTTAAGATTCAGTACTGACGTTCGAACCGCGCGGTCTACTATATTTCTATATGCAAAACTTAAGAGACATCCCTCGTAAATCCGCGATTGGTTTTTTGAAACACATAGCTATTGCCAACAATTACTAATTAAAAATTTCGTAATAATTGAACCTCATCGATCCAGCTTTTTGTTCGTTGACTACGTGTTCTCATCCACTGCCGCTTAAGAACAATTTCAGCAACAATCCCGCCGACTTACTCCTGATGATGATGGCATAGACACGCTCTTTATCAACCTCGATTCGATGTAACTATTCTATAAATTGCTCTCAATATGATTTGCCTGACAGACTACGTAAATTTTCCATAAAGGCTGTTTCCTGTATCCCTGCATTTAAAAACGCGAATAGTCCAGTTAAATAGCCGAAACTGCCGCAAAAGTGATAACATAGCCACAAAGTTATGTCCGCGGGCGTAATGAAGGCTTGCGAATATTGTAAGAGTTTGGTTTTCCGGAAACCAGCCGTTTTTTGTAAGCCAGCGAAAAATCTAAAAAACCTCTTTTTCGCTGAAGCGGCTGAGGATATCTGAGATTTTTTTACACGTAAATTTTTCTAATTTTTGGGACATCAAAATAGGTATCTGCATTTTTTTTGCTAAATTGTTTACTTTTCGCGCTACAGTTTGCTGACTGCATGTGGCGAGGGGCTTGCGGGTTGCGGAGTCAAGGACGTACACATATCACCAGCCGCCGCACCGTTGACGCGGACGATCCTCCTTTAACGTTAAACGCCAAGGAAAATGTTAGAAAAATGTCCATTTGGCCAAAGTCCAATTTTGTATCATTTGTTCTGCTTATGACTTACAGTCTGCAGAAATACGTTTGATTCATTTATTTATGATCTCTTTAGCTATGTTCTCAAAAAAATGTTTAGCGGTGCCCAGGGACCGCCGTGGCGTATCGGGAAACATATGCCTAGTGGTCCCATTTGACTTGTTCGTTCCTGTTTTACTTGCACAAATCAAGTTATTGCTCACCACGGTAGAGTAGACGTTGATGCTCTGGTTGATAGTAGTTGCTTCCAGTTAGTGCTTTTTACGTGCAATTATAAAATGAGTTAACGTGCCAAACGTTTGGTTCAACTTGCAAGAAACCTTTCCTCGAAGTATAGTAGGCTCAAGAAAAATATTACATCGGCGACATTATAAAATATTTTTTCAGACTCCAGTTCCTCTTCAGAATCGCTGAACGATCCATTTCAGTGTTCCCACTTTTGCCTTGGCTGCTTCGGAACAAGTCATAAATAAATGAAATTATCTTATATTTTGTACCCATATATCATAACTTATTTTTTATATCTATATAACAAAAAACAGTAAAATAATGGGCAAAATCCGAAAAAGAAGGAAATCACACAGGAAGTCCACAAGAGCCAACCTACACGGGGAGAAAGGTATATAACAAAAAATAGGAAAATAATGCATGATCATTTTCTCTTTGTAGATCCTTTGGGCTTGAAGTACCACAGCAAAGGGCTATAACCGGCCGCGTGGTTGTGGTTAGATATCGCCTTGAAAATTCGAGGTCTTTTAGCCATTTTATACTACAATGTACCTTTTTCCGCATGATCATTTTCTCTTTGTATATATATATATACATAGAAAAGTAAAAACAAAGTGATTTGTAACGCGGTCCAATTGTCCAAACCTATAGAGAAATTCGCAGCTAGTGTCACAACTAATTTCATGTAAACCTAAAATACTGTAACAAGAATGAATGGTACTGCCAGCGCCATCTGTTGGGAATCGCGCCAGGGACTCTCCTTTCGAGAACCAAAGCGAGGTGCGACACTGACCCCGAAGATTTTGGACTGGCTGCTATGTGGCGTATCGAAACTTTCTGGAACTAACGAGTACCTGCGATGCGGAATATATGAGCCGACGACCGGGAGAGGGAAGCAGACTTGAGTGAATGGCGCAACATAATAATTCGGAAATAAGTAGTCAGACATAAATAGTGATGTACATAAATGTTCTATCTAGTTAAGTTAAAGTTAGTTGTGTTGCGTCTTCAATAGATTAGTGCATTTCTTTTTGTGGAATCGAATGTTTTAATTCACACCCAAAAGAATCCAGAAAAATTCTACTTGGTGTCAGAAGTGGGATGTGGATTATTGGTCATTTAGTGAAAATAAATCGGACGATCAGTGAAGGAAGGTCGGTTGGTCGATCTGAAAATTGCCGATTTAAAAAGCGAGCTGGAGGAAAGAGAGTGCGACACGGCTCGAAAGAAAGCGGAATTGCAAGAGCGGCTTCGATTGAGGAAGGCGAGGACTCGGATATTTTCGTTTTTACCGGTACAGGGGATATTGGTTTAATTCTGCAAAACCTTTCGATCAAGATAGAAAACAAGCTGGTGGAAAATTGTGCCAACCTAGAAGGAAGGCTCGTGGAATATTGTGCCGATCTTTTGGAAAACTCAGCCAAGTTAGAAAATAGGCTCGTGGAAAATTGTGTCAATCTAGAAGGACAACTCTTTGAGTTACACGAAAGTACGGCCAAATTAGAAGAGAAGTTTTTAGAAAATACCGCCAATTTAAAAAGAGAATTGGAAGATAAAATTATGGAAAAATCTTGCGAGTTGGAAAAATGGATTTTAGAAACTTTGGAAAAATCAAGTGAGGTTGGAGCTTCTGTTGGGTCAGCTGGTCATCTGCGAATGAAACTGCCGCAATTTGATGGTACAACGGAAGTCCACGCTGTCGTTCGTCGATGGACTTGACGTCTGAAGCAGCAAACTTACCTTGCACTTCTTGAATTCTGTCCTCCCAAAGATTCTAAAATCCGTTTTTCCATCTCGCAAGATTTTTCGATAATTTTATCTTCCAATTCTTTTTTTAAATTGGCGGTATTTTCCAAAAACGTCTCTTTTAGTTTGGCTGTACTTTCGTGTAACTCCAATAGTTTTCCTTTTAGATTGGCACAATTTTTCACGGGCCTATTTTCTAACTTGGCTGAGTTTTCTAAAAGATCGGCAATTTTCAAATCAACCAGTCGCGCCATTCTTCCTTCACTGATCGCCCGATTTATTTTCACTTAATGTCCAATAATCCACACCCAAAATAACCCATAAAAACTCTACATTGGTCTCAGCTGTGAATTATTGGACATTTAGTGAAAATAAATCGGACGATCAGTGAAGGAAGAATGGCACGATTGGTTGATCTGAAACTTGCCAATAATCCACACCCAAAAGAGAACCCAGAAAAAACGCTACAATACTGTAAAACCAAAACCACAATTGTTAAAGACACTTCCAATACAAGTTTCAAGTTTATAGATTTACTATCTAAAAAAGCTAATAAACATTAGTGAAAACTCGAAATAATAATAACAGCTTTCTCTCTTTCTAAACAAACTAGTCTATCAATGGGAGCATTCCCAAAATATTTTACATTTAATGGTTTAAATTTGTTTTTTCCTGTGGATGGTATATTAACCCATTGAACGCGAAATAATTTAAAATTAAAATAAATAGAGTCTTTATTCACTAAAAATCACAACATTTATATATATTTTACTACTAATCCCAAGTATGTACAAATATTACTTAAAATTACCAACAGCGTGTCAAAATAATGTCAAAATCGATTAAAAAAAACTACTCCATATTTTATTCACACATACATAGAGAAAAGGGATCGGATTACACAGTTCCCTTTTTACAAATCTGAAACTTGGCCCATATATGTTTAGTCTATGTGTATAATTCTATACACTATACACCTTTTCAACTTTTGTTTAGATATCAAGCATGCGTACAGAAATTATTCAAGAGCACAGGTACTGCACACGAAAAAAAAAACGAAATAATCTGAGAGCTTTGGGTTCTCCAATAAAGTGGGATCGACAATAAAATGCAACAAGCAACAAGCTACGTGGGATGTAACAAAGAAATTCCATGCGTGTCATTTTGTGTGGAATATGCCATCGGTCAAATATTCGCTGCGATTCCGCACAACAACAATGGTGCAAGATGATAAATTTTCAGTGGCTTTGCCGGATACATGCGCCAGAACTTGAACGGCACGTGGAAAAAATTCTCAGCTTCGGCACAAGTCCATACTTTTTCGAAAGCAACATTGGTTAGAATCATCGACAGAACGGATATTCCATGATCGCATTGATGGTAGGGTTTCCTCTCACAGGGGTGACTTTTTTGTATAGTTTTCAAAAATCGCCGGTCTTGCCAGTAAGCCGCAATCTCAAAGTTATTGAAAATTCGATCTCTTAGATACGTTCTACTGTGTGCAACTATAAGTGACGTTTTATTTCATGTAAAATGACAGACATAGGACTTTCAAATATCTCACATACAAATCGTTTCATTCCAACATCGAACAGTCTTTATAGAGAAACTTTATTACAAATATTATCCTGCTAATCAACTAAAAGACTTTTTAAATGAACTGTATGAAATTCCCTTTGAAGCAGCAGTCGTACTCAATCATACTATAATAAATAGATCATTAAGGTACATTCGTATGCAATCTAATCTGTATAAATGTTAAACTATGTACACGAACCAACAAGTAAGAATGCTACTCTATCACAATATAAAAATTAATAGTTGGACAATTATAAAAAACGTTTACATCTAGAACATACAATCTATGCCGTTAAAATACATAGAAGAAGCAATGTTAGACATAATATTTTTGGAAGGATATCACCTGAAAAATTATAGAACAAAGCAAGAAATACGTAAACCCTAACGTTTAGCTGCACAATAACTATTCAGTAAGTCAGTCAAGAAACTGTAAGTCCACTATCTTAAATTAATACAGATTTGGAGACTTAACTAAGTGAAGAGACTTGTAATGTTTCATTAACATAATCGAAGGATACACGCCCAGGAAAGTCCCTGGTTATACTACCACTTTAATACGCAAGGGTCTGCATGTTGTGAAACAAAAGTTATGTTCGAATCTGAACCTACAAGGGATTTTTTTGTAGCACTTAATAAAAAGTAAGAACCACAAAGTTGAGAAGTGGTAGTATGAAACACGACTGACGGATCGACTGAACTCCCCCCCTCCCCTCACAATAGGGATTTTTGCAGCCAAAACACTCACGTCAAAAATAATAATAGGATATATAAATCTAAGGCTCCAAAATGTAGATTTTTAGACATAATAGTTCCATCCATGAAATTGATTTGTTATACAGGATAAGCTGTGACAATTCTAGTGTATATTTAATCACATTCATTTAACAAACTTAACGGAAATTCTGTCAAGTATGTCCAAAATGTAAAATTAACATAGAATTTATCCAATGGATATTTGTTGCAATTTTTTTTTTGCGAGGAATCAAAATCTATATGGTTCATATGGGTCATATCATTGACACTGACATTAACTGTTAAAAACTGTCAAAAATGCATTTGATCTAATTTTGCAGTCTTCTGAAATGAATTATAAGTTCCGGCAATTTTTTATCTAACTTTAACATTATGAGACAATACTAGGAAACTACAGTTATTTTTACAAATGACCTATAATATCCACTATCCCCAAATTTATGAAGTTTATTTATGTAAAAAATGGATAGAGTATCTTCCTCCATCATACATGGTGTGTATATATTTAAAATAATGTGGTAGTGACAGTTTGTACACTGATAACTTATGGATGTGTCTTGCACATTTCTTGGACATACTTATATGTACAATGAATAAACACTCAGTTATTCTTAACTTAATCTTTATCATACTGCTGCAATAACAAGTTAGGCAAGGGCTGAAAACGGAAGAGGGGGCACCTGCAAACAAATTTTTGGTGGAAGTTCCACAAATCATATCTACATAACTATGCCTGATATTTTTAGAGCAATCGTCAAAAAAACTAATTAATCATTGGTGATTCTATAACTTGGAAAGTATCACTGGATTTTGAAGAAATTTTGAAAGGTTCTAATGGTACGAGTAGTATGTCAAAAAATCTGTAACTCCTCCAAACTTGACTTTTTCGTTTCTGATGATTTTGAACGCAATAAAAAATTTCCTTTAAGAAGACAAAATTAAAAATGAAGTCGAGCTTTGTTGGTATATTTTAAAATGCAGTCAAGAGTTTATTTGAAGGATTCAAAGATTATGAAATCCGTCAAAACTTTTTTTCAAATTTTAATCATCCAGTCACTTTTGTGTAACTCCAAACACAAGATGTACAATTCAAAAATATGTGGAGTGCGTTTAAAAATCGGGACACTAGTAGTACTATATGTTATCTAGAAACCTCACAAAACTTATTTGATAAGCCTAACTAGCCAAATGTGAACTCTGTTGTAAAAGAAGTTATACAGAAGCAATTATGTATTCTTTAGAGTAAGTGCAAAGGCCCCTCATCTGGAAATAAAAAATTCTGGATAACTTTTTATCAAACTGCAAAGTTGTAAGTCTATAGAAGAATTGGGAATGGAATGAAATCACCTGCAAAATAGGTATGTCCAGTTCGTTCTAACAGTTAATTGGTTATTGCAAAAAATTCATTTTTTCCGAAAAGTTCATAAGAGTAAAGATGTAATAGTAGCCAAAAGTTAAAGCGATTCACATAGAAAGATCTGAAAAACAAATTTGTCACATGTTCACCATTTTCCCTAAATCGTTTCTAATTTTTTCTGAATTTATTTGAGATAGAATTTCAAAATAAACTGCACACTGACATTGCCACTTTTTGATTTATACAAGGTGGCATAAATACCACAATAATACGATTTTTCGTCTCTTATCTCCCGTCTTAACTTTTTCTTATGTATGCCATTTGAGCATAGACGGATAACTTTTCAAATATGGCATACATTGTTATAAACATTTTCTTGAGTAACCCTTGTGATTAACATTTATTTCATAAAATATCAGGTGCCTAACATCATAGAGTAGGTTTAAACTCATCGTATGATGAACAACAATGTAACTCATTTATATTATTTAAGGGTAATAATGAAGACATCGGAAACGGTAGATACTGATTGTATGGTCCACAATAAATAATGATCGTGAGATTCACTTTACCGTCGCCCTCTTCCGATACGCCCTTGAAGTTAGCTATCAGCCATTAAAGACTTATATACTACGTTTAGAAGTTATAACTGCGGAATAGCATGATATCTTTATCATGGTGGTAAAAGCCTTGCTTTATATCGTCGTGTATAACAGAATCAATTCCAGATACTAAACAGATGAATTCAGTAAAAACAGATGCAAGCGGCCAAACAGGAAAAAAATGATACACATGGGTGAATATTAGATCCATAAATTCAGACATAAAATATTTTAACAAACTGTAAATAACAGTCCGTTAAACTAGCGCTCAAAACATCTAGAAAACATATATTTACATGCTGGTTAAAACGAAGATCACCTATACCCTTTTCCAATGTCATTTATGCCGCGTCAAAACAAACAAGGCCTCCAAGAGCATGTACGCGCCTATAGGTTTATTCAACATATTAAGCTGCTTCTGCTCACATATGATTATAAGTTCATTTGTCAGTACACACCAATAACAATTGAGCGGACGGTTTTAGCGACCGTATCTGTAGCGATGCGGGGTAAATGACATTTGAGTAGTATATAGTATAGTCTACCTGAGAAACGTAAGTAATAGCAATAAATAAAACATAAATACCAGCAAACCACATCTATATGCTGTAGTTGACGTACACTAACGTAATAATCTTTGGTTAAAAATTGCTTTCTCAGATATAACACAAAGTCGCGATGTGCCAGTTTCACTTTTCTTGTGAAATCTATTTTACGATTATTCACGTTTTGACGTCTAATGAGGTGAAAAGCTGATCAGCAAGTGACATGAGGCTGTATCGTTGGCAATAATGCATCTGGTGTGAATCTAGTAAATTTTGCTTGTAAGATATTTTATGTATGGAAATGAACTTTTCTATCTCAATGAGTTGTTAGCAAATTCAAAATGAATCTGTAGCGTACAAAATACGGCTCCCTTTTTCGTGTCATTTATCGATTTGAGGAATTTTTAAATAATACCAAATAATCAGCTGTTATTCTATCGTAATGGATACTCGTGGAAAAGATAATAAAAGTGCGTCAGGGAAAGGCGAGTCTTGTATGAATATTCAACACAATCATTGCAAAACAGAGAAACTCACACTGCACTGACATACTGCGGCATAGTGCTTACATCTGCCAATGTCAAACCAACCTTTAACCAACTACCTCAACTGAAAAATCTATAGTATACATCAAATAGATAAGATTTTTACAAAAAGATATACAAGCAAATATATTTATACTTACGTTAGCTAAAAATTATGGCATTGAAAAAGTAGCAGAGCATGTGGTTTGACGATAATTAGAAACTAAATGGTAGGTGATGGTTCTACGCAACATATATGTCTTTTTTAATGGAAGCATGCTAATATCTGCTAAAAATAATCCGATGAAAACAAGTATACTGAAGTTATTTTTAATTTATGGTTTATAATACCATTTTGCAATAGTTTTCTACTAAATTTGCTCTAATATCTGTTCTGATTTACCAACATCAGTCTTTAGCGCTAGACAATTACCGGAGTGTTCCGAGTGCCAGTAAAAACCATTTTAGCCTGATCGCATCCTTAAGAACAGTCAATTAAGAGTGCTAATCGTCACTAAACCTTTCTATGAAAAGCGAATGCCAGCAATCGAAGCAAACACAATTTGTATACCTTCTACACTTTTAATCTAAAAATAACATATTAGTAACTAAATACCAAAGTGCACACATATCAGAAACGTAAAAAAATCTAAACTTTCCTTAACCTATTTATTTACATATCAAAAATTAACAGAATTTCCTGTAATCACTAATCAGGTGTTGATGCATACACTATCATACCAGTTAGAGCAGTAAAGTCTCTCTAATAAGTTTTTTCACGCTGGATCCCACTGAGCTACCAGCCGCGGGCCCGGCCACGGAATAATTAACTTTAAACAGGTATGGCTGAACGTCCGGAAATGAGGAGTCAAAAATTAAGCCAAGCTCACTGTGACTGGGCATCTTGGGCACATACTCATGTCGATTCATGACTTCGGTTATGTACAGTATCTTGTCGGTCAATAGTTCGCCGACCTTTTCTCGGCAAACCTGCCTTTGCCCTTCGTTGTTCAGAGTTATCAGCTCCAGTCGTACTGTCCAAACCTCCCATGGAATACATTCGGGTTGGAACAGCCATCTGCTGGGCTTTTTCTGAAAGAACTCTAAGGTAATCTGGCCCATCCCAGTACCTTCATTTCCTCTCAGCTGCTCAGAAAAGCAACTGATCTCCTTCTTGAGCATCTCGTCTAGAGAGGCCGAACTACAACAGACATACGTCAAGTCGATAAAGTCACAATCCACATCTGTATAGCCGAGCGTTCCTATGGAATAACTACCTTCGTTGTTATAAAAAAACTTGCCTAGCGATCTATGAAGTAAAACAGTATGAAAAATGCTAGCTACCGCTTCATCAGCCTGTCGCCCTTCGACTGTTAGTTCAAATACTTGAGATCTGGCGTTCATCCTCTCACACTAGAACTAGACTAAAACGCTCAAGAAACTTGTGTATTTGTGATATCACAATTAAATCACAGCTTAGGTTCCTGAGAGTATATGTATATACAATTCAAGTGTCTATCTATAAAAGCTTTACAATTTTGGTGGAAATATCTCACTAGCATATGTACAAACCAAAAAGTTTGTAGTATTACGCGAAATTATTATAAATATCCCTCGGTTTCGATATATTTTTTATTCTCTCCTACGGTAGGTCCGCAACTCTGCGTTTGGGATTAGGCTCTCGGTGTGCAGAAATCTGTAAACAATGATATTATTCAAATATATCCCAACGCAATAAACCACTGAAACTGCCACGAACAACTTTGATATAGGATCAGTGTTATAATAAGTCATGATTTAAAAAACATTAGTGTGAGAAAAACACGTTTTTGTCAAGTACGACAGCCGTTTACAGCACATATCGAAACATAGGGGCAAACATTCAAAAGGAGCTCCTCCAGACTTGTCCCATGTTCTTTACCGATTTCCGAAAAACTGCTGCAATTAAAATATACAAGGCAAAAAAACATTTCTTCTTACACGTCTTAATCTCTAGTAATTGTTGCAAATAACAAGATACCGCCATAATAATAAATAAACTATTTTGAAATGAAGTAGGATCGATTCTTATCGAGTTGCATTCTTACATCAAAAAATGGTGGAGTTTTAACAAAAACATACGGAGGATTTGACCTTTGGTCTGATTCATCTCCAAACTTAAATCTCCTAGGCTATCCTATGGAACCAACTAGGGTTATTAGTTCACATAGCTCCAATGGAAAATCGGAGAACTGCCGGGATGTACACAGTAAGAAACGATGATGATGCATTTAAAATTAATTCTGCAATCCACGGGAAGGAAATTGGAACCTCGCGTTCTAGCCGAGCAGTTTTTGTAGGACCAAAGGCGCCAAAGCAAACAGTGTATGTATGTATGTAGTATTGTAGCTCTGTTTCGTTGACTTTGTCATTGGTCCCAGCATTGTTTCAAGAAAATCTCTATTTAGCATCCGTTTATTAACATTTTGATTTTTATTATTTAGGATAAATAAAAATCATTTTCCTAGAACAGAAAGCATAAAACGCATCTTTCATTGGTTATCATGCAGTTGCCAGTATAAACTCCAGGATATTTAATGCCTCAATATAAAATATGTTCTTCATAGCATAAATTTTGTATATACATTCCCGTTGTTATACGAATAATATGTTCATTTCCTTTCTACAAACCGGGTGTTTCAAATTCGACCCTCACCATTGGAATCCGATAAACGGTAAGAGATACTTAGGTTATTAAGGAAATGGCGCTTAGAACGTTTCACAATTCCGAGTATTTCCGGAGGTAAACGAAATAAATCGAATTTTCCCAAAATCGTACTAATTTTTTCCTGCCTTTATTTGACATGCGATTTCAAAATAAAAAGTACATTGACATTTTTCTTTTCTACAAGGAGGTATAATTAAAATTTCAATTTAACGTTTTGTCTTTTGTCCTTGATCATCTAATTTGTTTTTTCTATTGACACCATATTGGATTTTTGCACAGGTGAAGAAAGTTATCGATTCTCATTCCAAAAATGCATAACATGTCCAACATTAAAATTGTCAAACCTGTTTTTTCAAAAAACTAATATTTTCCTAGTTGGCTTGGAAAATGACAGCTTATTGCATATTTATCCGATTAAATCTATGCTTCAGTTCTTGAGAAGTGTGTTCAAAGGGCATTCAGATAATTTGACCATTTATCGACGATCACAAGCGTTATTTTAGCACGCTGAAGACGCTCTATATAACACCTCCGCCGTGGATTATTAGTATATGAATGCAAGATTGTGCATCAGTTTAGATATAGCAGATATGAAGTGAATTTAGGAAGCTGCAACATCGTCGATGGTTTAATTTGCTCTAAAAAGATTTATATCAGCTACATAATGGTTTTCAATACTACCCTCAAATAATATGAAAACGTTTTAGCTTATGTTTTTTTATTCGATGAGTTAAGATCACCTATAGCAATATAACTTTTTTTACATATTTGAAGTTTTATAATATAAAGAAACGCTTGTGTGATGATATGAAACAAATGAGTATCTGATAATTTCAAAGCCAACTCAGCCAACTGTGTTTTTAAATAACTAAGGCTTGACAACATCAATGCATTATATATCTCTATTCACCCGTGCAATAATTCAATATGGCGTCTTTAATAAAAACTAAAGTTGCTTGAGAACAAGAAGCAAAACGTGAAAATGAAATTCTAATTATGCCACATTGTAGAAGAAAAAGTGTCAATGTCAATGTACTTTTTATTTTGAAATCCCATCTCAAATAAAGTCAGGAAAAAAATAACGATAACTGAAAAATTGGGTTTCTTTCGTTTACCTCCGCAAATACTAGTAATTGTGAAACTTTCCAAAATCCATTTTCTTAGTCACCTAAACACTGATTTTGCCACCATTCCTACTTCGTATTTCTTACCCTTTCCGAGACCCCAATGGTAATGGTCAAATTTGAAACACCCGGTATAGTGACAATCGTGATTTCCTGCCATTTTAGACATCCTAACCTACTATGGAAACTTTTACAGATGAAAAATGTTCAATTTTTGAGACACCTAAATAAAACGTTTCATTACGTCAAAAATTCTAATACTTCAATGTTTTTTGAACTTCCCTGATGTGAATAATGATAAAAAAAACATAAATATATTGAAATCCTGAAACTAAAGGCCGTCCGTCGCGAAATGTTGTGCTAAATGTAGTACGCTAAATTTCGTACAAAACTAAGGATTGTATCGGACAGGAGTTAGTACTTAATTTTGTATGAACAAATCGAGTGCTAAATTTTTTAGAACCTATTCTAAATAATATCATGCTAAAAGTAAACAGACGTCTACTGCGCATTTGGAGCAGCATTATGGCTGATAGAAGCGCTAAGTGACAAGTAATTACATGTTTTGTATTAACTCCTTGACATTCTATTGATGTTTTGTGATGATTAGGTTGAGATTTTAAATGGTTGACAAAACCAAGCGTAGCCTGAAGCACTTTCATTAGTTGTTGTGATCAGCTGTCTTCATCAGTTTCGCGAAACTCCCCTGCTTATGTTGTAAGCTGTTCAAATTGTAGAATGGAAAAGTTAAAAGATGTCATGGTCAAAAGAGCACTGAACGAGTATGAGAAATATGATTGTTTATATGATGTAAACAGCAAGACCTATAAAAACAGAAACGCCGGAACAAGCTGCGTTGGATAAAATCAGAATGATTTTAGAACCTATTAGGCCTATAAGCCTTTGATCCTCCACTAGAGGTCCTTTATTCATCATCTGGAGCACACCCCTTCTCCACACGGCTATTATGTAAAAAAACCTATAAAACGTCAAAAAACAACGAAATGTCATCTTGCAGACTAGGCAGTTTTTAGGGTGTAAATAGTTCATTCCACGTTTACTCGCTATGATTGCTATGAGGGTCCTTTTATGGAGGAATTACAACTACACGCATTGTTGGTTGCAGAAAGCAAGTATATCTATTGTGAAGCCGAGTAGTCTGTAGTGTTTATCTCTAAGGCCCGTATCGTCAGTCGTCCCTACAATTGTAGGGCGCGTTTATGGACTCCTTGATTGTCATACTCCTTTCTCTCCTTCAAAAATTTCTAGATTACACTTGTCCCGTGTCAGCGTCAGCGCTCTCCTATTGTGAAGATATGTTTTCTTTTTAAATTGTAGGAAATTTCAGGCTGATAAAACATGATATAACTCAAAAGCAAGCACATTTTGATGCAAATAGATGTTTGTGACATAACCTCAAAATAGAGATCTGACACGGAGAAGTAGAAAACTATGACAATCAAGGATGCCATAAAGGCGCCCTACAATTGTAGGGACGACTGACGATACGGGCATAAGATGTGAAAGAGAGAAAGTTGGTCGAGTAGCAAGATCGCATCTGGATCATTATGTGTATTGGTCTGCATGTGTAGAAAATTATTACTGAATATGCTGCCAATGAAGTATATCTATTAGCTGAGCCCGACGGGTTATTTATATGTTGTCGTTTCTGAAGACAGGTTATGTTCAAAGTTATAAGTTACGATTTTTTCCTTTTTTTGTGTTTTCAAAAACTTTGAGGAGCATTACGGGAAATCGCCACTGCGCCTACGTTATGTGCAATTAAACTACATCACTGAAAAATTAGAAATGACGCATCACACTTCAAACATTTTCGCAGTGCCTCGCATCTAGGCGTTGATTTGTATTTTTATGACATCGCAAAATAAATTTCTACAAAATTTAAATGACTGGAAATAAATAATGTAATAACCTTTTCACTTCCATAAATGTTCCTGTCTGTAGCATATTCTCTCACCTGTTACTTCTTCAACCAGGGATTATCTTTTTTATCTCTCTCATTTTGGAAATTCAGCAAATTTGCATATGTAATTTCCAGAATGAATAGGAAAAAGAGGATGCACAACTAATTTCTAGCTCAAGTAAGTGTATTTGAGACAAGAAACCAATAGAATTATCATCAACACATATTATTAACACACAAATCCTCAGTTTGCCCATATGCACTGCCGTTTCCTCCCAGACTTAGTATACAACTTACAGCTTAGACCTCTAATAATGCCATCTCTGAAGCAGATGTTACATCTCATCAGAACCAAACATTGATAACTGAAGCATCATGACGTTTAGGCAACTACAAAACGAGTTCATAACAAGTGTCCATCAGCTAGTGCTAAATTAACATCTTGTAGAAAAACCTACGTTGTCAAAAAAAAACGACCTAATGTCACTTTTCAAGATACGCAATAACCGCGCCGCTCCCTCTCCCTGATCCATTTTCGACACCAAATTCTGTTACGGCTTCGTTTACTTCGGTTTTTCATGAGGTGGGCAGATACAACACTGGCCCCGCAGTCGCATATATGTGAATTTCGGGATCGCTTCATTTTCTACAATAAAGAAGCAAGCAGCAACGAAAAGTGTGGCTAGGATGACTTTGATAAATGGCAGTTCCAAGTTGATAGTTTTTTTTCTCCCGAATGCGCATGATTTCGTTCGAAATTTATCACAAAAATTTCGTTACGTGACAGAATTGTAATTTATAAACAAATTGGGAACTAAATTCAGTAACGCATTTTCTCACAAAATTTGTACAAAATTATGAACAAAATTTTGTATCTAGACAGACGGCCATAAGGGATATACATCTTTGATCTTGGTAGGTTTTAAGGTATAATAATAATAATAAGAAACAATTGCTACTTACATTATCACAATCTGTAGCTTTCCAGTTAACGCTAGCAAAGCTTGTATGATTAGGACTCACAGAGTGGACTAAACTGAACTGATGGTTAATCTATTCTGAACTGAAGCACTTTGTATTTCAGCATTTGCCATCCTTAGGGTAACAGGGATTAAAACCCAACATTTGGGGGGGCCAGCTATACCTGGCATGTCATAAACTTGACCATTTCTTATCCTTCTGCAGTGACTGTTACTACTTGTAACATCGGCGTGCCTATGGGGAGTGAAAGTGACAAGTGGCTATGTTAATGCCAGCAAAAAATACTGTGCTCAGTCTTCAAGTTATCAAGGATATATGGTAGCAGATTTATTCGCAAAGTGGTTCAAACAGTAGTTTTTGTCGAATATGCTGCCAGGATTCTAGTTCATAGTGTTAGTTGATCATGTGTGTGTTTTTGTTCTGTACCTATTTAAGTGAAACTTTTAAAAAAATGTGCCTAGTTGCCAATTTGTAGACAAACTGGTATATACCCCAAAAATTGGAAAGTTAGATTTAGATAACAAGATTTTGTAGTTTTTTATATTATACAAAGTAAAAAAACTTTAATATTGCAGAAACAGCGGAAGACAGTTGACAGTCGAAAATGATTACTTTTTTAAACGACGGTGTTAGAATTCTGCAGTAATAGTGTGAATCTAAACTGATTACCACTAACTGCTTGATATAATTTCTGGATTCAATTTCGATGCACAATTCAATAAGTCAATGAATCGGGGAGCGATCCGCGACCTGCTGACAGGGGTAGTCATCTCGAACAGCCGGAAATCCCACCAAAAGCCTTGACTTGGTTACTGTAAATTGACGTATGATGATCAATTCCGTGTATAATAACTATTTTAGTAGGTCCAGAAATATTTTGTAAGTCTCTACCTGGATCTCTATATAAATTGTTATTCATTACAAAAGTTTTAAGTGCAGCTGTGTGGCCCATGCATTACAAAGAAAATACCTGTAGTCTGTGTAATCTCACTATGCTGATTCAATTGGGAATAGTAGAACCATAAGAATTTATTTCACTTTATATTTATAACATGAAGAAGGTATTGGACTGGGGGACAGAATATACATTAATATAATCTTTAAAAGGGTCTGATAAGGTAACCATCCCATGGAGCATTTTAAAGGTATATATCTAATGGATGTATAATGAGAGGGATTACAAATTTAAATAACAAAAGAAGCTAATTAGACCATTTCCATTAATAAAGAGTGTTCAACTGGTATTGTCTTTGACATACAGAATCCTTGAAATATAGAAATGGAATCAAGTAGACTAATTGAGCACCTTCCACAAATTAAATTTCTCAATCAACCAAAAAGTATTTAACTTTTGTTTTTTCAAGCATCGAGAAAAATTGATGTACTGGCTATTAACGTGGCCATAGTAAGAACAGACTGAGAGAGATAGAACAAAAATTATAACTATAGTAGGTTGGTCATTCTTCGAATATCCATTATGTTCCTTCACTCATGAACTGAGGCATTTAAGCTCACCTTAGCTTGTAAAAATATGAATTGTTTGAATTATAGTTTGCATCTAGCTAAAGGCTTACTCCCTTTTGATTATTACCAAATCAACTTTAATGAAAAAATATATTAATTGTTCCTATCACCGCACAAAAATAAAAATGTAGCATAGTATTCCGCTGAATTTTTTATGAAAGCATGATCTTAAAATGTACTTCTGTTTGATAAAATGAACCGTTTTTGAGAAAAAGTGTTCTTCCAATACTGTTCCCATGAATCTACGTTGCAACCACTCCCTTACAAGTCTGATTTACACCAAGTGAAGTAAAAATTTAAACACTAGAATTATTAGAGTCGCTGATTACGAATATGTTATCAGAATTACTCTATTTCTAAAATGGAGTATTTTTCCGATATAATTTATTTATGATCTCGATTTTCCACATGTCACCTATCCCAATCTTGGCCCTTTGAAGTTATTTCACCCCTTTCGGTAGTTGAATGCGCGTAGTGACCTTTTATTAACAGTTATTTGTGTAGTCTTTCTCCCTCATGAGATAGTTGCGCTAAAGGATTTTTATAACGCCTTTTCGAAAAACGCTGTCAACTATTCTGGCTATTACGTATCACGCAAAGTGACATCATATCGGCTTTCTTCTGTGACATTATGTATGTTTTCCTACAAGATGTTGACGTAGCACTAACAGATGTACACTTGATGTGTACTCGTTCCGTAGCTGTACGTGTTACCTAAACGTCATGATCTGGCTCTGATGTGTTGTAACATCTGTTTCAGAGATGGCATTATTAGAGGTCTAAACTGTAAGTTAATAATCTGTGTAGATGATAATTCCATTGGTTTCTTGCCTCAAATACACTTACTTGAGATGTATGCAAAGCTTAAAATTAGTAGTGAATCAGCTTTTGCTTATTCAACCTGGAAATTATATACGCAAATTTGGTGCATCCCAAAAACGAGAGCGATCAGAAAAGAAAATCCCTAAGACTAGCATGTAAAAAAACATGGTACATACAGGAATATTTATGAAACGTAAAAAAGTTATTACATTTCACATTAACACGTTGACTGCCGTAATACTAAAAAAAAATCGGTCCCTGGGGCCACCTTTTTTTTTTCTTCCAAATACTAGTTTCAGTATTCTAGAACACCCGCGCGTGTTTTGTGTTCCCAAAAAAAATTTTTTTCATATTCTTTTTCACGTTTCTTGATGAGACCCACCACATGGTCACGCGGCCTCAACATATGAAGTTTTACCCAATGGCCGCGTGCAACAAATCTTGCGTCTCACCGACTTGTATCGACCTGTCGACCGGTGCGAGCCGAACAATGTATTAGAAGCGAATGCTATCAGTGATGTCTCAGTCTAGTTTATGCGGTGTTCATCAGATGTGTTCCAGTCTTCCTAAGAAGCTATAAAACTTGTGTAGAGGGTCAATATTCATCCCAAAAAGTAGTGCTCACTCTTGCAAAGGACTTGTTTGACAAGGGACGGACAATTATTATACAAGTATCGAGTTGGCAAGTGCATTACTTGCAAGGAACACTCACTTGGTTGGGACTCTCCGATCCAATCGAAAAATGAATCCTAAACAAGTTGTTGATAAAAAGCTCAAAAAAGGAGAAACTGGGGCAGCTGAAAGCAACTCAGGTATAATTATCCAGAAGTGGATGGACAAAAGGGATGTGCTTACCTTATCCAAAAAACACACCGATGATTTACTAATCTTCAGATCTGGCAATAATAAAGAATTGCAAAAACCTGCTGCTGTGGTTGACTACAACAAACATAAAGCCTATATTGACTTGTCGGATCAAATGAAGTCTTATACCACCTCATTACGCAGAGGGGTGAAGTGGTACCGCAAGCAGGCCATTGAGCTTCTTATTGGTAGTGCATTAGTAAATGCACATGTTTTGCACCAAGAAGTAGCCAACGAAAAAATGTCCATCACAAAATTCAAGCAGGAAATCGTAAACAGACTCTTAGGCTTTGACGTTGATCAGCATACGCATAGTATTTTTGAAGATCATCAACATTCTTTGGAAGATGTTGGTACCAACAACCGACGTCGATGCGCTTTTTGTTATGAAAAACTTCAAAGAGAATCTGGGCGAGCACATGCTCAAAGAAAAACTCCGCGAACAAAACTAAAGTGCACGTCATGTGAAAAATATTTTTGCATTGAGTGTTTTTTCCAGGTACATAAGTGCACAAAATAATTGTTGTTTTTATTATACATTTTCATGTTTTTTGTTCTATATTTATGAGAAATATATTTTTTGTTGTATTCCACTTCATAAGGAGGTTCCTTTTTGAATACCTTTCATTTTATTATCTACGTATATATCAGGCCATGAGTAACCACTTATAGGTCACGGATCCAAAAACCAAAAACAGTTTTAGACATTTACAGCCGTGATCTTTCAGTCCCATATTACTTATATAGGACTGAGACATCCACCCAGGCTCACACGGCTATATTACAGAATTTCTGACGAGACAACTAAGGTGTGTCACTCGGCTGTTATCGAAAACAACCTGAGACGTAACATTTGTGTCTCACGGCAGCCAACGTGTAAGTTGTATTTTTGGTCATTTAAATTTTATAGAAATTTATTTTACGATATCATGTAGAAAATACAAATCAGCGACTAGATGTGAAGCACTGCGAAAATGTTTTGTATGTGATGCGTCATTCCCAATTTTTCTGCTATGTGGCTTAATTACACACAAACACAACACGCGTGAGGTGCTTATTTCCTGTAATACTTCTCACTCAAAGTTTTTGAAAACGCAAAAAACGGGAAAATCGTAATGTATAACTTTGAACATAACCTCTTTTCAGAAAGGATAACACAAATAACCCATAGCTAATAAAGAATTTCCTCACATAGCAAATATCACTGATTTTATACACATGCAGATCCAGCTGTGATGTTGCTACTCTGCTACTCAACCACACATCTAGTATACTGTTTAGACTATCTCGATATTCTGCAACCAACAAAGCATAATGGGAAATTGACTTGCAGCTTAGCCATGGTCATTCAGCGTGTCTTGTCGTTAACTCATTCCTCCATAGATCGATTACTAAGGTTTATCAACGTCAAAGTATGACGTATTATACATTTTTGAAATCAGAATTAAAAACTCTATTCATCTGTGCAAAAATCCAATCCAAAAAAATAAAGTTGATGCTGGAGGGCAAGAGACTAAACGTCATATTGGAATTATAATTGTTCCATCTTGTAGAGGATAAAAAGTGGCAATTCTAACGTACAATTTATTTTGAAATCCCATTACAAATAGCGTCAGTAAAAATTAAAACGATTTTGGGAAAATTCAGTTTTTTCCGTCTCTCTCTCCGGAGGTTCTTTAAATTTACAAACTTTTTGTTGATTACCTAAATACGCAACTTTGCCCCCATTTTTTGATTCATATTCAAGTAGATAGGGTTACTGGTAATTCGCAGTACTCTTTCCATGACAAATGCAACAAATTCCACCCTATATAAATGAATAGGCTAAAATCAATAATTTTGGAGGTTTTCCAATTTTTGGCACAGTTACTTCAAAAAACAGTTTAGTTTTCATTATGTTTTCCTCAGAACAAAATTGAGTTTAGTCTGTAGCTATAAATAACTAAAAAACTTGCTGATAGTCAGCTTTCCAAAATGGAATTCAACTTCAGTATAAGTACATTTAATTGTTTACAAATAGTCAATACAAGTCAATTTAGGTCGACTTATTTAATAGCTATTTCAAATGAACCTGCTAATTTCTCACAAACTTTGCTCGATTCCAGCCACTCAGATGGAAATGAGGTCTATATTTACTTTATAGTTCCTGCTTTTATTTTAAATTAAATGCAGACATCATTTCCAAATAAATGACTCGAACTGAGCAAGACTGTGAAAAATTAGTTGTGTTCATCTTCATTTGAAACAGTTTTAGAGCTATTTAACTCAGGGATTATTATTTGACTTGCATTGGATTGGCCAATTGTTTGTAAGGAATTAAACTCTCAAAATACTTTGGAAAGATATTTTATTTTGTATTGTATTTCTGCACTTTATCTGATTATATTCACTCAAATTGAGTACAAACTACGAGAACCAATAGCAATCTCACCCATATATCACATAGTTTGTTTTTAATATCTACCTATTTATCCGGTCCTGAAAGGAATATGGTGAACTAATGCACTTAAATATAAATTATTCTAAATGAAATAATTTGGTTGAAAAAAAGAAATGTGCATCTTTGGCTTTTAATTATGATTACACAAAAAACCTATCATCAAAAAATGTTGATTGCATTTAGATTCATTAAAGGGCGCATACAAAAAAAATTTAGTTGCTGTCAACTTGGCACTGAATCATCAAGCCCCACTCTGGGTGTTTGGGAGCATATCAGTCTCAAACCAAAAAACACTGGAAAGCAGCTCTGGTACATATCTAATGGATATATACTGAGTAGGTTTATAAATCAACACAAAAGTCTAATTAGCAGGATTAAACCAATAATAAAAGGGTTAAATAATATGAGAAATAAAATTTTGTTATCAAGCAAGAAGCTTTTGACTCTTTTTCCAGCAGTTGGGGAAAATTAGATGGCTGAATGAGAGACATATAACAAAAAATTACTATATTAGATTTGACATTTGTTGAATACCCATATGGTTTTTCACCTATGGAATGGGGAATTTAAAGTCCTGGTCTTTGTTGATAAAAATAATTACCTAAATTACAGTTTGCAGGTAGCAAAATGTTTTATCTCCTGTGACAATTTGCAAGTAATGTTTATTTCAAACCACACAACTTCACTGAAATTCTCTAATGCCAGAAAATCACATCAATTGTCATCCCCATTAGCTGTTTTAAAAAACAATTACAATAGAAAATATAGCATGGTATTCCACTAAATTTCCCCTAATACTAAACTGTCCACTGCTACAAGCTGATTGATGCAATGCTCACTCGTATAATTTCAATTTTACTAAATTTGCTATAAGATTATAAATTACTTAATAACAAAGTATTCTGTATAAACCTGTATATGATGGATGTCTTTTAAGTTTTGCATATAGAAACATAGTAGGCCGCGCGGATCGAACGTCAGTACTGAATCTTAACCTCACTCTTTAGTAAACTTAAATTCAAAGTTTCACAACAACACGTGCAGTGTTCTCTCTACAGTGAATTTTTAAGTGTCATCAAGTTATTAGAAAAATTGAACTCAACCGAGAACATTTTTGCGCCATAATTTATTACAACTTTCAGAGTTACTGTCTGTTTTCGGCAACGACGCGCCACATCAACAATTTCCCGTTGCTATGGAGAATTCAAACGTGGATGGGTTACACTTAGCGGCGATCCCAGGGTGGGTGCACCAAAAGCGGCGGTCACCTAGGAAAACAACGACGCTGTGCGCAAACTCATCATTGAAGATAGATAATTATGTGACATATCGCGAGATTGAAGCGTCTTTGAAGATTTAAAAGGCTTAAATTCAAAAAAATTTACCTGAAGAATTAGGAGTGAGAAACTTAGTTTCTAGTTGGATACCCCACCTGTTGACTGAAGAGCTGAAAGCAGCCAGGGTTAATTGGTGTCAAACAACGCTTGAGCGTTTCAATTCCGGAAATTCAAAAAATGTGTACAGCATTGTTAGTGGTGATGAATCGTGGATTTACTGTTATGAACCAGAAAATAAACGACAGTCGGCTGTTTGGGTGTTTCAAGGTGACGAAAAGCCAACAAAAGTCATCTGTTCCGAAAGTGTTTCGAAAAAGATGGTCGCAACATTTGTGTCAAAAGCGGGTTAATGAGCACAGAACTGTTACTGCGGATTGGTATACCACCATTTGTTTGCCAAAAGTCATCACCAAGCTTCAAAAAATCAAACCCGAAAGAAGAATCATCCTCCACCAAAACAATTCAAGCTCGCACACAGCCCAAAAAACAGGCAGCATTTAACGGAAGAAAACATGGAATTACTGGACCATCCTCCATATAGTCCCGATCTAAGTTCTAACGATTAATTTACGTTAGAGAAAATTAAAAACAGACTGCGTGGTCAAAGGTTCCAGTCACCAGAAGAAGCAGTTGAGCATACAAAAATGCCATTTTGGATCTGCCAGCAAACGAGTAGAATAAGTGCTTCTAAAATTGGTTTGAGCGCATGCAGATGTGTATTAATCTTCGTGGAGAATACTTCTAAAAACAATAAAGTCATTTCAAACTACCACCGTGTTCTTTTATTTCCATATGCTTAAAAGACATCCCTTGTATTGTTTGTGTCAGGTGGTAGTAGAAAGCATTTAAAAACTGTTCAAACTGTGCCTGAATTTATTAAATAACTTAAGGAGAAACATTTTTATTACTGGTTGATAATGTAGCTAAAATGCTAAGTATTTGAGTTTTAATAAATATTAACTTATGAATGTGAAAAGTATATAATGAAACCAAAACAAAGTGTATTGGTGTACTTCAAATAATCATTCACACATGCAGACCAGTAAACCAAATCTAAGATAATCACACAATTTGCATTCTACACTCATGTGAGTTAAATTAGTGTGATAAGATGACCTATTTTGAAATATTGGCCAATTCCAAATAGTTGATATTATCACTCACTGGTTTTGCTCTACTTTATTTTAATTCCCAACTCACCTCTCCAAAAAAAATTATAAATGTAGGAATATCAATTCCTATGTGTTATTTATATGAACCCTTGTCGCTATGTGCTGGAGTTTTTGGTTTCAACAGATTTTGTGAGGAGATTGCAGCTACTTTGGATACAATAAGCTGGCAGATTTGCCCCTATAAACAAAAATGTATTATGCAACAAACTCAAAATTAGTATAATCATAAAGTGGATAAGCAACAAATGCTGACAAGAAAAGCCACAAAAGTTGCATACTCGTGTAAAGTTGATAACGCTACGAGAAAAACGGGGATGATAAAAGGGGCTCGAAACTATTTCAGGGCACTAAACTTGTCTATATTAACTAAGAACGCATTATTTAATATATGCATTTATTGTGGCGCAGTTATGATCATGTATGAACATGAAAGGTTGTGAAGATATGGATAAAGCTAAACTTACCCTTGCTTTGAAGAATTTTTTGTTTGTAAACCAAGGTGGAATGGCTCCTTTGACGTCCGAACTTATTGCCTACAATTATGCTGCACAGTTACTCGAAGAGTTTTCCTCTTCCAAACTAGGTCTTCAGACATTTCACTTCTGCTTACCATAAATATGGAAGGCAAAGCTTATTATTTCTTATTTTGGATATATTTTTGGCCGTTCTTCAACAACCAAGCATAACAACCTTCTTTCTTTGTTATCTTTCTCACCAAACACGCACATCAGACAGAGACGCAACGTGATTGCATGATCTATGGACACAGAAGATTTTTTGATTTGCACTTATCTGTCAGTGTCCTATGTCAGGTGTCATGGCACGTGCCAAAGTCATATCCGGCTGCGTTCCGACTGCATGAAACGTAAGCCATATTCCTCAACTAGCACCTAAATTGTACACAGAAAGAGTAGTGCAATTTACGAGGTTGGTTAAGGCTTTGATAAAGCATTTACTACTCAGTTGTATGCTCAACCATGTCAGATGACCTAGCCTCTACATTTTTGCTATGCTATGAAACCTAAGATAATTTTCCTCTAGGCTATGGATGTTGTGATGTGATTGTTTGCAGGTGGTAGACGGTCCCAAACAGAGTCTGGAGGCAATATCCGGCGGATCTCCAAGGTGGGACCAACATCTGTGCATGTCACATTCCCACATATTCCATCGCTAGAGCCAGTGTTTACGTCCCTCTTTTCCCCTATATCTCCTTCTAGCCATACAGTTATTTAGGCCTGAGACCTGTGTGAGGTGACTCAAATATAAAAAAAGGTTCGCGGGTTGTTGAGGAGTGAAACAATTGAACTACATACTGACAATTCGCTTCTGATAGCAAGCTAAATCGTGCCATGTCCAGAGTAGGGCCCTACAAGCTAACCAACTAGGCAATAATTTACAGGTTTCATAAATAACTTGTTTTCGTAAATTTATATATCACACGGGTATTTCTATCCGCGGCATTATATACTTTGCATACAATCGCGTTTCTTTGGCCGAAGTCTAATGACTCATCTGAATAGGTATCATGAAGTAAAATCCAGCCATGTTGGACACGTTAACAACAACAGATAATGCTATGTTAAATTTCATGGATGAAGGATGAAGTGATGCAGTAGTTATTCATTATGCTGCATGTTTTATCTTGTCAAAATATAGCATAGGTGAAAATAGTTTGGAAAGAGACCCTGTAAAGTATGTATGGCGTGGCCATGTGTCGTAGAATTGACAATTTCATGAACTGGCCAATTAAATGTGAATACTCAACTAAAATATAGAATATGTTGCGAATTCGTTTATTGTTCTTTAAGTACGAGAACCCTTAAACAATTAAAAGAAGTAACTTTTTAGGACATTAAAATAATATTAAGATACTCTTAAATTCTAGGTGTTACAAATAAAATTTTTGGGCATATCGGATATCACAAGTTAAGTTACAACCTCGCGTGATCATCTTGCGCTATATTTTATCTGGCACACGATTTTGACTTCCAATCTATAAATGATAATGCAATTTAAGAGCGAAGTACTAACCTGTGAGACACGTTCCGAATTCCAAGGCTTTCTGACGTTTTGATCTATACTTATGTACCCTGCATATAAATCAAATTCAAACGAATAACCAAATGAAAATGGTATTTATCATTTTGGATTGGTATTTACCGATCCGTTCAAGCGAGTGTGGTTATCAGTTTGGTTATAAGATCCGTGACGTCATGAATCAGCTGTTATATTTCATAGTTATCACCGTAAAATTGTAATATTTACCCAGTAGTATTATATTCCTGGTTATTATTGGAAATTTGACAAGTTAGAACTTTGGCCAGTATTGAACACTTTTGTTGCACTTCAGCTTCATTCTTGGGCAACTTGATACAGGCTGACTTCAGTTTTAGCATAAAGTAGAGCACCTTTTTAGTTACACTCATTACTGTTCTTGGGGACACTTTAATTCTAGTTCCTATATATCCTGTGTAGCCATATACCACAAGAATATTAAAATATGGCCATATAAACTCACTGGATAATGTCCACCTGTATACGGTTTTGCTAATATCTTTTGTCATCGCTTTTTCCTATCATTTCTGCTAGATCAATAAATGTTTTCTTATGCGGAAAAGTTAAGAGAATTGAAAGTTATCATACCTACAAAGCTATAGTTCCATCATTAGTTCCATCGTTAAAAATTTTTCATTATTATTCGTCATCAACCCGTGTGTCATCTTAAACCATATTATAACCGCGGTACATAACACAGAAATTTTGGTTACTTGCTTGGATTTGATTAATATTCGAGTACCTTTTTTGTCATGTGTTTTAACCTCACTTTCTTCCACATCGCCTCTATCGGTAATTAATAGAGAGATATTGCATATGGACCTAAATAAGGGTATGCATTATTTAGGTGAACCTAAATAAGTACAGTGGAATTAGAGATATTGCACATGTAACGTATTTTGACAGTTCGCTTTGATGGTGTTTATCTTAACCTCACTTTTCCTTCCAGTTTTTGCTTGCATAATATAGGTGGTTCGTAGTTGAAATTCTACCAAAGGTGTGAGAAGTGAGATTGTAAAATGGAAGCTGAATTGGAAGCAGTTATATTGGCAGGAGCAGATGAGGAGGAAATAGAACATATCATCCTCCATAATATATTTATTGATAGAGGCATTACTCATACAGCACAATTCAACTTGGAAAACTTGCCAGATGAAGTAATAAGACTAAATTTTCGATTTGAGAGGTCTGACCTTCATAGGCTGATGGCTGTTTTACGAATACCTTCAGAAATTGTCACTATCACACGTAATAAAGTGGATGGTATGATTTTGTTTAAATATTTATTGCTATATGTTCATCATTTCAATCGAACTCCATCCTCTGACTCAAACAACACTTGCCAGAGGCTGGAATTCTATCAACATGAAAACCACAGTATAAGTTCCATTTATCTTCTTTCAGGTTTAACAGCATTGTGCATTCTACTAAGACGGCTGGCATATCCAAACAGATTGTGTGATATGGTCCCTATGTTCCACTTGTCAACTCAGTCTTTGTCACAAATCATAAATAAATTGATAAGTGTGATTATGGAGGAGCATGCTGTACTTCTCAACAATTTGAATTCATTGCAGTGGTTTAATAGGGAGAAGTTGGAGTATTATGCACAGGTATTGTATTGTGTAATATAGTTGAAGTGATGGTTGGTTCATAAAATGCTGAAATGTGCTTTTTGTAGGCTATTCATAATAAAGGAGCACCTATGAATAATTGTTGGGGTTTCATCGATGGTACAGCAAGGAAAATTTGTCGACCCTCTGAAAATCAAGAAGAGTATTATTCAGGACACAAAAGGTATCACTGCATAAAATTCCAATCAATAATTTGTCCTGATGGAATTATTGTTAGTTTGAAAGGCGCATATCCGGGAAGAAGGCATGATGCCAGAATATTTAGGGAGTCAGGTATCTCTGAAGAATTAGTGCAAAAGACATGTTTTGACACAAGACGATTTGTTTTATTTGGTGATCAAGGATATGGGCTGAGTGATGTGCTATTTACCCCATTTCATGGCAGAATGGAAGATTTACCTGCCCATCAGCAGAGTTTCAATTCTGCTATGAAAGTTCTAAGGATAGCAGTAGAATGGGGTTTTCAGAAAGTCATATCAGAATTTGCCTTTGTAGATTTTTCAAAAAACCAAAAAATGCTACTTCAAGACGTTGATGCTTTATACAAGGTGGCTGTACTACTTACTAACTGCCATACATGCCTGTATAGTAGTCAGACTGCTATGTATTTCAATACAAATCCACCTTCACTTGAGACCTACATAGGCCACTGATAAATAGAGGACATTTTGGGTTTGAAATACTCGTTTGCTTTCCATCGCCGCAGCCAAGACCAACCGCAGACAGCGCTGTTTCGGGCTCTTTAGCCCTCATCAGTATGGTATAGGTCTGTATCAGGTCCAGCCGTGAAGGCGGACAAATGGAAAGTAAACAAGCGAATGTGGTCTATCAAATAGCGGGAAGACGGTAAATGTAAAAGATGGCTCGCGCCATCTAAATTTCGCTAGAACTAGTTTCTTTGCAATGGAAAGCAAACGAGTATATCAGACTATATTATTGCATGTTCTGCAGAAAATGCTATTGTTAGTTTGTCCTGTGAACGCCTTGCGTTACGACTCTGGTGGCCGGCTACTGTTGGTTGGTACCGGGGTATCTGTACTCTGTACAATTCATCTGAGTCAGCGACCAGAAATCGTAAGGGGTTTCTGCTTTGCCTGCGTCGTCATTGACGAAACTTGCAAAGAAACTATCTCTAGCGCAAATTTAGATGGCGCTAGCCATCTTTTACATCTAAATTTTGGGTTGTTTCTAACTTGTAACGCTTGATGATAATTTGTAATTTTTTATAGACTTGTAAGACCAATAAAGCTTGTTTGGAATGTATGTTTATTTATTTTACAACCATAAGGGCAGCAAGCACCCAATAAGAGATTTCAAAACTAAATTAGTATGTTGCTGAAAATATATGAAATCAACTTCTTCAGGAGTTGTGGATGAAATATGTTTGATCCTGAAGTTACACAGTTTTACTATGTTCATACATGGAACCAGTTGCAGAATCAATTTCATATATTTTCGGCAACAAACTTGGTTTGTGCTCACCATCCTTAGCATCAACATTATTATTTCAATATAAGGCCAGTATATTATTTTTTTAATGGCAAATTATCTATTATCAAGTTTTGTCAGTAATGCTTCAATAAGCTTTTGTTGTGTTTTGATGAGGTCACTCAAGTTTTTTCTTTCAGCGACATCTTGCTCAGATTTCTTTTGTTCTAACTCTATCCTATGTTTTTTTTCTTGAATTTCTGCCTCAAGCCTTTTAGACTCCAAGGCAAGTCTTGCTTTGTCATTTGCAATTTTTTCTTTTTCATTATCCATTTTTTGTTCTTCTAACTTGAGTTCTGCAGATCTTATTTCTCGTGATATTTCCGCTTTTTCTCGTAGGTAATCAAGGCCATTTTTTCTCAATGTTTTACTTTTGTTCATCCTTTTGGTACGGGGGGCTGTAATGATCGAAAAGTAAGTAACAGCAACAATAAACAAATGTATTTAATCTTGAACATGAAATGTAAGAGGTAGTTTTGAGCTTTCTGTTTTATAGGTAATGTATAACATACTAGAAACTACTTAATCTAGTAGTAGCCCTCTGAATGGGATGCCATGGCAATGCTATATACGCTGTAGTCATCTGGATCCACTATTTGGTTAGTCTGGCCTGTAAATAAAACCGCAGTGCTAAACAAAAGAAGTTCACTGACAGGTTAGTCATTGCACTGGCTTTTATCAAAGTATATAACATAAGTACCTACACATTTTATATCGAGCACTGGTTTTATTTACTGGTCATACTCCATAACCTGTGGATCTGTTTTAGTGTTTCTATTACTGAAGATTCAAGCAGTAATTCTAATCATTGTTTTACCTGATATCTGTTTTGCAGTTCCAACATCTTGTACAGATATCTGTTTTGCAGTTCCAACATCTTGTACAGATATCTGTTTTGCAGTTCCAACATCTTGTACAGATATCTGTTTTGCAGTTCCAACATCTTGTACAGATATCTGTTTTGCAGTTCCAACATCTTGTACAGACTTATTATTATTTTCTGTGTCAACGTCGACTGTAACACAAACACCTAAAACTGTGATAATATAGTAATATGTATAAAAAATGTTTAGAATAGTTATTTTACCGTAATCATGGTCGATTAAAGTGTCATCCACATCAGAAAAGGCCAGCAGTGCCATAGCCTCTCTTTCATTGCGTGTCTTTTCAATCATATCTTTCGCTTTGTTTTCCACTTTTTTCTTTTTTGCTGGTGTAGTTGAGCAGGTCTCTTTCATTAACTCGCTGGCTTCTTGGAGCATATGTTCTCTTTCATTATAGACTTCTTCTATGCCAGACCTGTCAAACACAAATGTTGTTTCACCAAGTCTTACATTAAGCATTCTCTTGTTATTAAAATACATGTAGGTACAGTGTGCTATCTTATACTTACTTGACTTTGCTGTTAACCTCCTTTTTGAGGAACAGCTCCAGAAGATGGTTCAGATGCTTTTTTATTGTTCTCAAAATAAATTCTTTTCCCGTAAGCTCTCGCAAGTTCTGTAAGATTGAGTCCCACTTCTCAGGAGAACGGATAGGGTTTTGTGCAATAAATTCACGCAGCAAAATCATTTCGTCGTCATACGTGAACCTTATTCTCTTTTTATCCATATTCATAGTTACCAAAACGCTTCAGCAATCGTTGAATTTTGAGAGTACAAATTTATAGGTTAAATAGGCTTGCGACGACACCCGATTTGCTTAGATCGTGAATCGTCGTGACATAAGAACGCCTAAATAAGCTCCCCCTATTATAGCTTAAATAAGGACGTGCCTTATCCCTATTAATTCCTCATAGATACAGAATTGTATGTGCGCATGCGTAGATGTCAAAATAAGGTCTGCACTAATAAGGCAGATGTTTGCAATATCTCCCTAATGTCAAAATGTTACGGTTTTATCAAACAGGTATGGCCATTTCATGGAGTATCCGCGTGTTTAGTTGATCATGTCGTTAAACACATCATGGTATGGCCAATAGATGATGACATATTTCATAAAATGCAATCATTTCATGATATGATCGATGTTTCTGGGTTACCAGACCTGACAGACTTACAAACTGACAGTGTGACTCAAGAGCTAAGGTCACACGGACCGCTCTGACAACCAACGATGACTTGATTGATATGATCGATCATCTCATGAAATGGTCAATACCAGGATATTGCCACGATATGTTTACCGACATTTCTTTACTTTGAGCCGTCTTTTGATACGTGGAAGTTTAAAAAAAATCGGGAAATATCTTTCCTGATGTTTTACAACATTGCAAAATTCAACTATTTGCTGATGATACATTTGTATATATATATATATATATACCTATATATATCAAATAAAGAGATTGAAACTGCAATAGAGCTGTTAAATAATGATATGAAAAACATAATAAATTGGTTAAATGTGAATTAACTCAAATTAAACACAAACAAAACAAAATATATGCCAATAGGACAATCTTTAGATCAAATTACGATAAATCTTACAATTAATCATGAAAAAATTGTGTCAATCGTCAATGTAGATAGTAAATAAAAATTTGAAGGACACTATGAGTATATTATTTCAAAAATATCCAAGAAAATAAATTACCTTTATAGAATTTTGCATAGCCTAAGCGTTTATCCTGAAAAAATTGTGACAACACTATCATTCTTCCTCATTTGTTATATTGTTCGACTATTTTGTTCACTGCAAACGAAACACTGCATTTCCAAAATTACAAATATTACAAAATAAAGGTATGAGAATCATCTTAAATAAAAATAAATATACTAGAATAAATCTTATGCTGAGAGAACTACAATGGTTAAATATCACAAATTTCATGACCTACTTGCTTTTCATTTTCATATCCAAGTTAAAAAGGCATCTTCTACCAATCACTTGGAAAATTTTATTGTATTGAACAATGAGTGCCACAGTTATTATACTAGAGAGAGTATAGACTTTCACTGACAAAACTGCAGTAGCAATATATCGAGCAAGTCTGTATTTCAAAAGGGAATGTACGAATTTAATAAATTAAGTAATGATAACAAGATGTGTGTCAGTTTGAAAATGTTCAAGGGGAAATTGACAAAATATCTCGTGGAAAATCAGAATTCATAGTAGTGAAATTTTGTATTAAAATATGTAGACGTAATATATTATGTGACATACTGTGTAACATGAATATTATGGATATTGTAGCAATAATGCTAAATAAATCTGAAACAAACAAACAAATTAACAATGATGGATACCAACTTTAATATTTTTCTTAACGCATAATAACCCTTTTTTTGTTTCTTCGAAAAAAATTGAAGCGTTAGTGATAGGCGCTTCATAAAGGAGAAATATGTAAAATATTCTACAAAAGAAGGATTAAAACTAAAGGTGTTTTAAGTTGAAATAAACGTTCAGAATAACAGCTAATGTAACCAAATCTCTGGGGTGAAGGACTTTTATCTATGAATATTTTCCCCCATATTTGCTAATAATCATATCAGATCAAATTTTGAATACTGTAGCCCTAGATAACTGGAAATGCACCATAGTATCTCGATATCTCGCGACGCCACGACCAAGTAGGAGAAAATCTTTGGGGTAAAAAACTGTGAGCACGTACGTTTGTTTCTGTAACATCAGACTTACCGCCCTCAAAAATGTTCTTGTCAACGTATGTGTTTTCTGTATTTATGATTTTCATTGTCAGTGGTCAGTGTAACAACTTGCTTGGCATATGAGCGTCTTTTGTTGATCTTCGATATAAATCATACCAGTGCCTGAAGTTACAACTACAAAGTCGGCAGTCCGTGTCAAATTTATCGGCGTATTTTGGGAATGTGAAATGAAGCAATGGTCTTCTATCAACTAATACATGTGTGTGTGTGTGCAAGGGAGAGTAGCAGCTGCGTGAAGGATCAGCTTGTGCAGTATACAGTTTCCCTTAGGAAAGTGCAACTCCGTACATGGTACGGTTAGTAAATCTTCTTACCTATTTCGTATGGTGCACACGTAACCGCCAAAAAACGGTAAAATGAACAATACATATTATATGTATAAGTTACTGTTAAAGTTTATATTATTTTTTTCAATGTAGATTAGTCGACTATGTACGACCCTTCCATGGTCATTAAATTCATTTCCGATTATGTCTATTAAGGTTGTAACTTTTTTCAATAAGATTATTATATTGGCTTGTCTAGTTGATGCAAAAGTCTATATTAATAAATGCTGAACGCGACCCAAAACCCCAGGGGTTCTCATCTCATTTGACATTTTAGACGTCAAGTAGTTGTCCCAAATATTTATAGGTTAATTACATTTTTTAGTTTTTATTTTTATCATTAATTTTACCTGTGATCTATTTAATAGTATGAATGAATCATGCTTTATCCAAAAGTTGCGTTAAATCAGTATAAGAATTGTTAAAACATATTAGTGTGTAGTTTCCTTATCAAACAGTGAAGTCAAATCGTCAAATGGATCAATCTGGTTTAGAAAATGTACCTGAAAACAGTAAAGGTTTTGTATACAAAAATAATATTTAAAATCCATAATAAATGTATTGTTCTAGTTCTAGAGTTACTCATTGAGAGACTAAAATCAGAGAAAAAACAACTGCAAGATGAATTTAATGTGCAAAGAGCAAAACTCAAGGACCTATACCTCCAGAAAGAAGGTGATGACTGTTTTTATTTTCTGCTTAGGTAGACGTACATTTTAAAATGTTTTATTTCAGCTGAATTACAAAGAAAAACTGAAGAAAACCTAGATCTTTCTAAACAGGTGTCCAAATTAAATAATGAACTTGATGATTGCAAAAGTCAGTTAGTTGTGGATAGTATCACATTAGAATCAAACTTGGAAGTTGAGAAACGAAAAGCGGCAGAAGAAATTGCTACTCTTCAAAGGCTAGTACATGGTAGGATTTCTTATAATCCCTTATTTTTGCCTTTTTGCAGTTTGAATTGTTTATTTTCATTTGAGTATGGTGTTAATATTTGCGACCTGTAAGGACAATAATAATATAAAATAATGCATTCCTTACAGAAACTATAGAAGAATCTAGCTCAACAAGAACCTTGTATGATGACGAACTAGCAAAGTTACAATCCTATATTCAGCAGCTTCAAAAAGAAATAACTGATTTGAAGCATGAAAAAAACCAGTCACCTCATCACTTATCACAGGTGAGTGAATTGTGTCAGGTCTGATAGCAATTCAAATATTTTGCTTCATTAAAATTTTTATCATTCATGAATTTGAAATTTTCTGTTTACATGTTTTCAAATATACTTGAGCCTTCAGAAGGAAATACCAATGAAAAAAATTATGAAATCATGTCCAGAATTATCCATAGTTTCATTTTTAAGAAGGCATTTTTTTTGCAGGAGCATAGTAGTCTAGCACCAAGTCAGGTTTTGAATGTTTTAACCAAAGGATTGAAAAAACTAGGGGAGAGTATTGATGTAGATTCTAAAAAGGTAGTGTTATAGCATTAAATATTCCACAATGAAAAGTAGCAATATTTAGTTAAAGCAAGAAATCTTGCCTTATCTATGTTTATATTATTGGAGTGATTCATGTTCTTATCATAACTTATTGTTGCTAAGATAGTTTCATAGCATCTAAAATAAGGTTAAAATGGCATTGCCATATTCTAATTTTTCTCATTAAAATGTTTTTGTGTTGTGTTAAGCCTCAAGAGGATTCTGATGTTCTGAGCTCTTTAGTGGAACCATTAGCAGATCAAATAAATGCTTTGAAGGAAAAACTGAGAGCCACAGATGAACAGTTGCAAAAGTGCAAGGAATGTGGACATCAACAGGTTACAGTAAGCTGCTCTCATATATTATTAAGTTCATATTTGCACATTTTTATAGTTGCAGCAAAATCAAATGAACTGTCTCCTGGAAGACAGATAGTTTTTGTATTTTAAAAAAGGCCACCAAGGTTAGTAAAGTCTTACCTCAACTGCTATGGTTTTATTTGGAGGCTAGTAGAGTATAGAGATTGATTAGCAATACAACTACAGGATGACTTTTGTTGCATTTAATACTATATAAGTCTCAATTATTGCCATAGAGTATGCTCTGGGTGGTTACCATAAATGATACAGTTACATTCCTTATTATCATAGAAATCCAGGAAAATAAACATTGAACTTTTCCTATGTGGAATTTTTTCCTAAACACACTCATTTCATTAGCACTTTAACTCTTCCTATCTACATTACTGATGCTTTTGTAACCCATATTGTATTGAATGATTTCATGTTAACCCTTAACCGGAAAGGTGCCGTCTGTGAGACTGCGGCGTTTCTATACCTGAGCGTATCTTTTTTTATTGCACCTCTAACAGAGGTAAAAACCCATCTAATCCATAAGCTATTAGTGACCATCGCCCACCCCCATTCACACGAGTCTAGCCAAAACGTGCCTTAAAATATGGACCAATTTTAGTTTGTTGCAGTCTGTCAGACGGCACGTTTCCGTTCCCGTTTGCTATTTGTGTTGCATAGGTGCGTTTGCGAGTATGGCGGGACCTTCTAAACGTGTACGATACGATGATCCGGAGTTCGAAGAAACCGTTCTAAAATGGTTTGAGGATGAAGGAAGTGACTTTAGTGATATAGACAGTGCCTTAGAAGACGAATACATGGAATCAGATCATACAAGTGATAGTGAGTTATCAGAAGACGGAGCCGAAGGAAATGAAGAGGATTTACCAGCTCAGAATTATTTCTATGGAAAAAATTGTCATAGGTGGAATATTTCGGAAGTTGTACCATCATCACGTACAAGGAAGCACAATATAGTCATTAAAGTACCAACTCTAAGAGGAAAAGCTCATGAATATGGAGAAGAAGCAGCTCCGTTGACGGTTTGGCAGCTTTTGTTCACTGACGACATGTTGGTACATATCGTTAAGTGGACCAATCACAAGCTCAAAGAAATGCGAAAGAGATACAAAAATCAAACCAGCAACCTAAACGACACTGATTTAGTCGAAATAAAGGCACTATTGGGTCTCTTAGTATATACATCGGTGTTCAACAGCAACCACGAGAACATTGAAACACTTTTTGCCCCAATGGCTCTGGAAGAGATATATTCAGAGCTGTCATGAACATAAAATGATTTGGTATTCTCCTGTCAGCCTTAAGGTTTGATAACCCAGATGACAGGAATGAAAGAAAGAAGCTAGATCCAGTAGCACCAATATCTTTCATTTTTAATAGTTTTATAAAGAACTGTCAAGATGTGTACGGAGTTGGCCAGTCTGTCACTGTCGATGAAATGCTCGTGAGTTTCAGAGGAAGATGTCGATTTAAAATGTATATGCCTGCGAAACCTTGCAAATATGGCATGAAAATTATGGCATTGACGGATGCAAGGAATAGCTACCTCTATAACGCATATATATACTGCGGTAAAGATTCCGATAGTTTCGAACTTCCTGAGGAACACAAGCGGTATTCCAAACCCACACAATCAGTTCTACGTCTCGCGAAGCCTCTGTTTGGAACTAATCGCAACATTACAGCGGACAACTGGTTTACGTCAATAGAATTAATGGATGTCCTATTGAAGAACAAACTGACCTATGTGGGTACAATGAAGAAAAATAAAAGAGAAATTCCTCCGGCATTTTTACCCAACAAATCAAGAGAAGTCGGATCAACAATGTACGGATTTCGAGAAGATTCCACTATTGTGTCTCATGTAAGCAAAAAAAATAAAGCCACAATACTCATATCTTCTATGCACCACAGAAAATATTGTGATCCGGAAACACAGAAACCGGAAATAATAGCCTATTACAATGCTAATAAAGGTGGAGTTGATTCTCTTGATGAAAAATGTTCGAAGAGTACCTCAAGTCGCCGTTCGCGTAGGTGGCCACTGGTTAGTTTCTACCGACTATTGGATATATCGGTAGTGAACTCGTATATTTTACACCAGTGCTATAAGAAAAATGAATTGCAGAAGGAAAAATCGGTATTTGCTAAGATGTTGGCCGCTAACCTGGTCCTTGAGCATATGGAAAAGCGACTAGAGAGTCCCCGTTTACCTCGGGATTTGCGACTTTCGATAAATCGCATCCTTGGCAAATGTGAACATCCAGCAACAGAAGCTGAAAATTTGGTTTTGGAAAAAAGGAAAGCCTGCTTTTTATGTCACCGAACGACCCATCGGATGACCAAATTTTTGTGTGTACAATGTAGGAAGCCTGTATGTCTTCAATGCTCCAAACCCAAATGTATTAGCTGCATAAATATAGGCAATGTTTGAGACTTGCAGTGAATTTTGATTGTGTTCTTTTTGTATTTATTGACTATAATATACTTTCCTTGTTCATTACTTAACTAGAAAATAGAAAAATATTGAGACTTTTCCATAGTTTTAATTTAGTTTCTGAATGTTGCAACAACAGCGTTATTTTTGTATGGTTTTAGCATAGTTAATAAAAATGTTTCTTTTATGTTCTTGTATCATTTTGAAATGAGCATTTTACGTATTAAACACATAAAATAAACATCCAGTATCAGTTTCAGCGAAGTTATTGCTTGCTTTTCGCCTTACTCTAATTTTTTGAACATCCTGAAGTTCGCAGTCTGAGAGACGGCATGTTCCAAAAATTCACGTTTCCTGTTAAGGGTTAAAACAAGTTGTGGATGTGGTTGAATTCACTACAATAAAAAAACACTTGAATTGAAACTTGCACAGTTAAAGCTAAAATATTACTTTTGCTATTTGTTTTTCTAGAAACTTGAATTGAAACTTGCACAGTTAAAGCTAAAATATTACTTTTGCTATTTATTTTTTCTAGAAAGAATTATTTTTGCCTATTGCCTGCTTTCTATTCTAGCAGTCAGAGAAAGAGACTGGTGACCAATCCTCCCAGAAACATGTACAACTGGATGCAACCACATCAACGAATACCTCCTTCGAATCCCAAAAGCTTTTTGGCTGTGACATGTGTAGCAACTACGAGGCTGAGTTGGTTAAAGAGCAGAAGAAGACTAGCGACTTACAGGCAAGGGTGATAGCATGTGAAAAAGCAGCTGAAAGGCATAAAGAAGAGCTGTTGAAGGAGATTGGCTTCAGAAAAGAGATGGAGGAAAAGTGGAATGAGAAGAAGGAGGAACATAAACAACAGGTTTGTGTGTGTTAAACGATTTTTCAATTCATGTTTCGTCATCTTTTTCGCTACCTTATACGCTAAAATTACCACATTGACTGCTTTGTCAGTCACTCATGATTGAGAATGAACTATTCCAATGGTGTAGTGCCAGTTATCAAGCACTACATGCAAGTAGGTACCTACTTTTAACTTGTTATTTAACAGTGTTAATCATGAGTTCTGTGTATGCCTGACCCGGAATGCATCTAATAAATAAATGAAACATTCATATTCTTCAATTTCTTTAGCTGGCCTTCAATGTGTTAAAAATAATCCATCAAGCTTTAAATCTGAATATCAAATGTACTAGACTTTTGAATGAATTTCACAATATCTGCATCATATATTTTTTCTCTAGCAAATTGTGACATGCAGAATGTGTTTAACATACACGACACATGAGTTCACAGGATGCTCTTGTGACCTGGTACACTACTATGCCCAAACACCCACTATATTAGAGTCACCACATTCACAAAAACTAGTCTTTGAAATGCTCTGAACCAGTGCTACATTTCTATCTTCACTTTCATTTTACACTTAACTGAAACTATTATTTTAAAATGAATGTTATGCCAAATCTTTAATATTACTTATCTTAGGCCGTTTTGAACCGATTTTTTGCCGTTTTTTGTTTTCTATTAAAATCAACACCTTTTAGGGTTTTAGGCTAAATGTTGAAATGTTCAGCTATGAATTGAGCCCTCCCATCTAAACTTTTTATATGCCGTTTCAGAAGAAAATGTTGTATTTAAAAATAATAGGGTCTAACATGAAGTTTTTCATCTAATATTTTTCATATATAGGGTCTTTCAGAAAAGTGCTATGGGATAAAGTTATTAGTTATTATTTTTTTGAATGAAATACCCTATATTTTCGGGTAAAATGATAGTCTTTTTGGATTCAAAATATAGCTGGTTCATCATACTTATTTTAATTAGTTTTTCCAAAAACTTTAAGATTATGTGTCATTTACTCATGTGTATCTGAGTTCAAACCAGATAGCCGCTTACGAAATCTGGAATAGGGCCAGTATACATAGGTTTAAATGACACACAAGCTTCAAGTTTTTTACTAAAGTAATAAAAAAAATTTCAACACACCATATATATTTGGAATCAGAAAATATACAGTACTCCATTCAAAAAAATACAACTTTATGTGACATCAGTTTTCTGATAAAAAAATATTACATGAAAAACTCCATATTAGTCGCTATAATATTAATATACAACTTTTTCTTCTAGAGGATCACATACAAAAATTAGAGGGAGGTTAATTTATAGTCAGAGACGATGTTCGAAAAAGCCAATAAATGGTGCTAATTAATCAGTAAATTGATTGCCTTTTTGGTTTTTCAGTTAAATATTTTTGTTCATTCAAATATCTTCTTTATCACAAAACTCAGAACTTCAAGGGTTATCACCTTGGTTTCATAAACATTTTACAAAATAATCCTTAAAATGAAACTAATGATATTTTGGAACTAAAAATTCCGGGCTTGGATTCATTTTTCATTTTTAACACAATTTCGCAAAGGCCAAATTTATACAATACAGTTGGTAGAATTAAATAATAGAAGAAAGTATCGAAAAAAGTAAATAGGGTGCATAACAATAATAATGAATTCAAGTATAACTTACAGGGTATTTCACTTAACAAAATACAAGGAAATAAAAAACTAAATCAGACCCTGAAATTTTGAGTTCCAGTTGGGTACAAAATACTCTGTATTTTCTCCAGGTCGCAGAACTAACGAGGGCTACAGAATGTACTGAACAGGATCTCAAGGAATTAAGACAGCACTTCAATAAAGTATGCTCAGATATGAAGATTACATTAGGGAGATTGACACATGAGAGGGAGATGATCCATCATGAACTTCAAAGGTAACCTCTTATTGGATTATTTTACTCTCCTGGCTGTCTTATTTTCTGAATGTTGTTATTTGTTGCTATACCTGAAGGTGTGGCTTAATAATGTTATATTATATATATATATATATATATATATATATATATATATATATGTATATACAGTGGACCTCCGGTAATCTGACAAAAATTATGCAGGGCAGTGTCGGACTATCGAATTTGTCGGATTATAGAGCACTGCCTAAGACCCCCTATAGTCCGGAATTTTTTACAAAAGAGTACCTTGTAATCTGACAAATTACATATCCAATGGTAAGATTATATGTATATGTTATGTATATCTATGTACTTTGAAGTACAAATCATACATAGTTTATGTATGTCGAATTTAGTAAATTAAATAACAATAGAGAGCTTACGTTTTATTATAAAATTAAGCATAAATGCACATACATATGTACCAAAATAATCAAGAATTATGAATCAAAATCATTAATGAATTTTTCAAATTATGAAGCTTGGAAATATTCATCAATTTTTTGTTTGTTTAAGGTTGTTATAACGCGAGATCAGAGCTTTGTCCCTCAGTCTTCTCAAAAGTAAAAGTTCGTTGTAGGATGTACCATTCTCTTCAGCCCATTGTAAACTTCTATCTCAAAGGCGTTAATTGCGTCTTGTGCTGTGACTTGTGGAGCAGTTGCAATCACGCCGTCGTTATGTTCCTGATTGTTTGTTGTATAATTAGAAACCTCTTTTATAATCTCTTCGTCAGGCATTTCATGAAAAACATTTTCCTCTTTATCCATTTCACGGCACCAGATTTCCAAATCTTCGGGACTTATGTGTTTCAGTAGCGACTTGTTCTATAACTTCCGAAGTAACACTGATTTGTGGAACGTTGCTGGGAGTGGTGAGTATATCTGGCCATAACTTTTTCCAAGACGATTTCATAGTTGATGACGGTAACGCATTCCACGACTGACAAAGAGCAAAAACCAAGTCTTTCATATTAAATTCTTTTAAAGTTTTTTTCTATTGGTTGGTCTTTTGATACGGCTCTCAGAAGTAGGTCTTGCTTGACAAACTGAATGATATTCTGGTCCATTGGTTGAATCAGTGCAGTGCAATTTGGCGGAAGAAACATCGCAGTGATGCCTTTATCCTCAGTTGTTAGTTCTTCTTCAGACGGATGACCGGGAGCGTTATCAAGAAGCAACAACACTTTTTGAGGAAAATTATGATCTTTTAATCATTTTCTAACTTCAAGTACGAAGTATTCACCAAACCATTTTCTGAAAAGGTCTTTTGTCATCCATGCACGTTTTTGTCCGTAATAGTGTACAGGTAAATCAATGTTCTTGAATGCCCGTAGTTTATTAGATTTCCCAATGACCATCATCTTAAGCGCGTGTGTGCCCGCAGCGTTAGCACATGGTAGTATGGTTACACGCTCTTTACTTACTTTTCGTCCAGGTACGGATTTTTCGTTACAAGAAAAGAAAGTTTTGTTAGACATCTCACGCCAAAAAAAGCCCTGATTCGTCTGCATTGTACACCTGTGACGGGTCAAGATTTAAATCGTTCACCTTTTGCACCTTAATTTAAAGGGCTCTATGCAGGTGGCATCGTTAGAAAGTTTCTCTCTTGTAATAGTCATTAAACGTATGCCATGACGACTTTTAAAACGTTCTAGCCACCCTTTGCTGGCCACAAAATCATCTTTTTTTGTTATTTCCTTATAAAAAAACTTAGCTTTCATGGTCGACATGGGTCCTGAAATTGGTGCGTGTATATTTCTTTCCTGAAGAAACCACATGTACAAAACTTCTTCCACTTCTGGATGTTCAGCTTTCTTGAGTGTCTGTCTCTTGCCTGGCCCGCAGTCAGTAGTTGACACGAACTTCTTGATCTTCTCGTGGTTTCTTTTAATGTCATAAATTGTAGATCGGCCTACGCCGTATTCACTTGCTAAACTACTGAAAGTTTCATTGCGATTTAAGCGGTCTAAAATATCACATTTTTCTTTAATTGTCAATGTTTTGTGCTTTGGCTTCTGAGTTTGTGATGACATTACTAGGTACTATACTTAATACACAATGAATAAATAGTAAACAATCAACGCACGCTAGGCCGTACCGCTATCACAAGTAGTCAAATTCAAACTGAGTAAAACAACGCTTGCGCGTCGAGCACGATAGCGGTGGCGCGTACAAGTTGTAACCTGTTCAAACCTGTGTGGTCTACATTAGCGAAGATTGTCAAATACGTATGTATGTAATACATATTCAAAGACATGTCGGATTACAGTGGGCGCCGAATTAGACAGGAGCCGGATTATCGGGGGTCCACTGTATATATATATATATATATATATATATATGTATATATACAGATTCCGATATATATATATATATATATATATATATATATATATATATAACAAAAAAATAGGAAAATAATCCGCAAAAAGGAGGAAAGTGGATTCGAGCAGAAAACAGAAAATAGGATAGGTAACCCGAGCGATTTCTGCTGGTTGGCTTCATCAGGCCCGAAATGAATGCACATATGCAACTACAAAAGTAGATACACATGCTTGAAGTACCACAGCAAGTGGCTATAACCGGCCGCGTGGTTGTGGTTAGATGTCGCCTTGAAAATTCTAGGTCTTCTAGCTATTTTATACTACAATGTGTAGGTTGGCTCTTGTTGTGGACTTCGTGTGTGATTTTTTCCCATCCATCTTTATTTTCTCAGGTTACACCCGTATCCGGATGTATGAGCATGTGTATCTACTTTTGTAGTTGCATATGTGCATTCATTTCGGGCCTGATGAAGCCAACCAGCAGAAATACGTATCGCTCGGGTACCTATCCTATTTTCTGTTTTCTGCTCGAATCCACTTTCCTCCTTTTTGCGGATTTTGCCCATTATTTTCCTATTTTTTTGTTATATACATTTCTCCGCATGATTATTTTCTCTCTCTCTATATATATATATATATCGTGAAGTCAAATTACGAATTTTTAGGTTGCAGAAGGAGAACGCCAACTTGATAGGAAAATATACAATATGTTCACAAGAACTGCAGAGCCAAATGATAAACCTTCCAGATACAATCGAGGTAATCCTAGACGCTGACTTAATTGACTGCATCCTTTTTACAAAGTCTATTTTTTAGGAATTACATGAATTACTCCTAAAAACCCATCAAGAGTTGATAATGGAAAAAATTGGTAAAGAAGCAGCTGAACAGACTGTTAATACACTCCAGTCAGAAATATCTTTATTGAAAGATAGAATAACAAATGATCAACAAGAACGGAAAGGAATGGAAGAAAGTCTTGATTTAGAAATAAAAGCTTTAAGGTATTTATGGTTTCAATGATGATATTTGGACTTCATCTTTTAAATAAAAAATACAGATTTGGACTATTTTTAAGTCACAAACTCTTATTTGTATTCTTTATACACTTTGTTAATTTTCGCTGTTTTAGTTTACCATTTGTGTAGTAGGTATATGCTTTCATGTAAGCCTATGTTTTTATAGAAAGCAAATAGACCAGCTGGACAAAGAAAAAAGAAAATATTTGCTTAATCAAGAAAAACTCGCGAATGCAGAAAAATCAAACAATGATATTGTGACTGATCAGAAGAAGAGAATAGAAGAACTGTCAGAGATAGTGGTGAGTAAGCATTTAATTCAGAATTGTGCTAGTATAGAGTTTTCAAATAAACCGACTTACTGTATAAATGTTGTTTTTCTTTCCAGAAAACTTTGGAAAGTCAAAATACTGAATTGAAAACCAGAGTTTCTTCTTTGCAACAAGAACTGGATACGACAGAAACAGTGCAGAAAGACTTTGTACGGTTGTCTCAAAGTTTACAGGTAATTTACCTAATTAAAATAAAAAGAGCAGACAGATATTAAACTTTGAAAATTTCTGCTTGGTTCTGTGAGGTACCTTATGCGATGCTTATGATTAAGACGCAGATTTCCAAGCAAACATTTTTCCAAGATATCCGCACAAGAATTTTATCTAAGTGTATTTTCCTAATCACAAAGCAACATCATTAGCCACGGCCTTCTGAGTGTTGAACAACTTTTGGTTTCGATAGGGTAGCGTGATGTGGCAGACATTCAGCAGTCAACATTTTGCGCAAATTATGAATATACAAACAACGAACGACTTTTTAAAAAAACGATTTTATTGAACAGAACATTACTCGTCACATATTTTTACAAGTAGCTCCTATTTATAACCTATGCTAGAACAAAGGAAATGAAAAGTGCAAACCTAAGCAACTCTACATCATCGCAGTACCGTAATTCCTTTCTCTTCAAAGGAAACATTTCATTGAGGTAAATACCATTTTTGAATGATTGACTTTTTGGTCGTTTTTTCTTCGTAAAAGGGAGGAATTACTTTTTTATACAAAGTAAAAATACAGTCTGTGTCAAAATACATAAAATAGACACAATGCTAAAACTGGGAGATTTGTGTTAAACATCTAAGTTTTTAATTTGTCATGCAATAAAACATTATTAAATTGGATATCTGATTAACCATTTACATCAATATTGGATACATATAAATGTTTCGAAATATCAGATGTTTTTAAGTACTCAATATGATGAATAAATGTTTTACATTTTAGAATAAAAGAGGGATCGATTTATTTTCTTTTTTTTCAGTGCGATCTTCATACAATAGAATATTCTTATTATTATTCATCAAATAATTATCATTTTTCATCTCATTATTTCTGAAAATGGACCGTTTGCTATAAACGTACAATCTTTGATTTTAAGTAGGCTATAGCTGGAAGCAATTATTTCAGTACAGTAAAAACAGTTACTACTTAATTAACAGTTTACATTCGTTACAAAAATGCTTAGTTTCATTTTTAATATTATTCTAGGGTTTTAATACCAGAATATTATTTTGGTTTATAATGAAATTGATATTGGAATATACAAAATTTCAGTTTACTAGTATGTAAACAACAAATTTTTCCAAAATTGTAAAATAGATCAGATAATCTTGTGAATAATAATTATTTAAGATACTGAAAATGAGCGTATTCGTTAAGCAATTTTTCAAGGTTATCGAAATTATCCCTTAAACTTTTATAAATAATAATGCTATTTTCAAACCTGTCTTGTAAGGCAGCAGCGGTGGCCGCAGTAGTAGACTCTTCGGTCTCCTCATCAGTCGCCGTGCGCTGTGCAGGTCCGAATCCCGTCCCAAGAGAAATTTTTCTCTTGGCTATGGATGTTGTGATTGTCCGTAGGTGGTAGATGGTCTCTGACTGTCAAATGCAGAGGTACCACCTCGTAGGCGGGGCCAGAATGTGTGCATGTTGCATGCACACGTGTTCATCGCCAGAGTCCGTGTGGCGTTTCCCCTTTCCCCTGTATCCCCCTTTAGCCCCACGGTCCCCATGGGTGTTTAGGCCTTATAGACCTTCGTGGTGGGTGAAGTAAAAAAAAATAGTTTTGTACAGAGATGGTTCGAGAATTTTGTAATGAGATAGTATCTTGATTTTCCTTGAGAGTTTTCCTATTTTCCATTATTTCGTCTAGATCATTTTGATCCACATTACCTGAAATATATTTTATAACAGAACCAAGATCATTAAAGAGTCCACTCTTAACTTTTTTGTCTATTAGTAAATTATACTAATGTTCGAGTTATGACATTAATGTGTCATCAATCTTCTGCTTTGCAAAATGAACATTTGCCGTTATCTGCTTACTGTTCAATAACAGGAGTTAAATGTATACGGAAAAATGTCTTATGGTACGCTTTTAGTGAATAGGCGTTACCTAGCGTTTCCTTAAAATATGGGGCTTTATTCTTGATCCGCTGTATTTCTAGGCCGGCTAGTTGAAGCGCCGGGATCAGATTTGCTACACTGTGCACAAAACAGCTTCATTTGGAGAGATCTGAGGTACTGTTTTGACCAATACAGCTCTACCTGGTGACAGCTGTCCGCTACTGTCGTTCCTTTAATTTTCTTTTAAATATCTTTAAATTACAAGAAGATTTTATATCATTCTTTAGTTTATTAAATTCAAGTAATCCATTCTGAAATATTGATTTGCTAGTTATATTACTATTGCAATTTTGTAAATGAAAATCTATATTTCCTCTTGTATAATAATTGTGGTAATGATTATTCAATTATATGTAGTGTTCTAAATGTTCTGGCAAAAGATGATTTTTATATTAAATATAAAAATAAGAATTAAATATGATATGAAATTTTTCATATTCAACCACTGCAATTTTTGTAACATACATTTTATTTTAGTGTACTTATTTTTATTCAATGTTATTCTCATAGCTTTATTTTGCAAGACTTGTAATTTTGAGAATACAGCTTCATTGGCAGTGAACAAGATAGTTGAACAATATAGTAAATGCGGTAGAATAATTGTATTATAAACTATTTTCTTGAAATAGGTACCAAGACTATGAGAAGCACTATAACAGTAATTTGTTTTTTTTGCAATTTTTGAAATAATGTATTCATAGTGATCCTCAAACTTTAGTTTACTATCAATATATATATACCTAAATATTTAATTGATTCAACATTTTCAATTATTTCTCCATTTATCCTAACTGTGATAGTATTTTCATTTAGGTATTTCCCTATTAGCATACATTTTGTTTTAGAAGTATTCAATTTTAGTGTATTTACATTTAACCAATTTATGATTTTTGCCAAGTCAGAATTTAGCATTTTTAAAGCAGTGTCTATATTTTCATCTGATATGTATATTAATGTATCATCTGCACATATCTGAGGTTTACAATAATCTAAAATATTACAAATGTCATTAATGTATAAAATAAATAGTAGTGGACCTAATTTACTACCTTGTGGTATACCAACAGAAATATTTTTTGATCTTGATAATGTACGTATATATCCAATTTTGATTTTTTGACGTCTGCCAATTAAATAGTTTTGTAGAATTTTGAATACAGATCCTTTAAATCCGTAGTGATGCAATTTTCTAGGTAATTTATCCCTGCCAATAGTCTCAAACGCCCTTTTGAAGTCCAAAAACACTATAACTGTATGTTTTCGATTGTCCATACATCTCCTCCAGTCCTCTAAAACCATTTGTGTTGCCGTTTCAGTTGAGTGTTTCTTCCTGAATCCAGCTTGAAATTTGGTTAAAATGCTATTTCGATCAATAAATTCGATGATGTACGTAAATAATTTCTTCAAAAACTTTTTCAACATCTGGCCATCTTGGCCGCATATTGGTGTACAACTTTTTTCTTAACTTTAGAAACAGGAGTTATGGTAGAACACTTCAGTTTTGTTGTTAATTCACCATATTTTAAACAGTAATTTATCAGGATTAATATTATATATATATATATATATATACAGGGTGACTTTGAAGTTGAGTCATTAATTTTCAGATAATGATTGTAGAAGGAAGATAAACCAAAATATGTGTGTAAAAATAAAAAAAAAAATGTTTACCTTGTTTTATAAAGTATCCTCCCGACAAGTATTTCAGTGCGGACCTGTATTTGATCGTGAGGTCCCCTGTGAGGTCTTAAGTCACCTGATGCACGAGCCCGTTGTACTACATTAACAAAGGCACTAGGGGTTGGTTGCACTCGATTGGGAAACCGATCCGCATAAACATGTGCCGTATTTCGTTTGAGCCACGCAACAGATACCACTATTCACTGACACTGACTGTATACAAATGAATGAAATACTTGTAAAAACATCGTTCCAAATTCTTTCGCTTTTTTGTCTCCGATGCGATGAACCGATACGGCGGATTATATCCGTTGTCGCCAAACACGAGTACATAATATTATTATTGAGACAGGGCGGTACTCAAAGTTCCAAAGGGCTATAACTTTGTTACTTTAATTTTACCAGAAAAATGGTAAAGGAAAAAAACATTTCTTTTGATCAGATCTACTCACTGTTAAAATAAATGACTCAACTTCGAAGTATATCAAAACATTTATTAAGCACACTATTAGACAAACTCTCACTTTTATTTTGATTTGATTTAATTTTTGATATAATCTTCTTGAGACGATTTTTGTTTATTTTTCTAAACTCACTGAATGGGGCATGTACTTCTACAACAGAGAAACTGAAAAGTGCAAAGCTAAGCAACTCTAATGAATAAATAATTCTCACAATTTTTTAAACAATAGAACCATTTTTGAATAACTTTCAGGTCCAACTGGAAAAAATCCGCGAATCTGACACTCAAGTGCGATGGCAGCATGAGGAAGACGTAGAGGAATGTCCGTCATGCCGTACAGGATTTTCCTCGTCGCGTAAAAAGATGCACTGCAGACACTGCGGGCAGATTTTCTGCGTAGTCTGCTTGACCAGGACGGTGATGTCGGGCCCCAACAGCAGACCGTCCAAGGTATGCGACGTCTGCCACACTCTGCTAGTCAAGTCCTCTGCGCCGTACTTCAGCGAAGCACCGCCGACGATGACGTGAGGTAGAGCTGTCATAGTTAGACACGTGTTGAATAATATATGTAAAATTATGCTAGATGAGATGTATTTAAAGTCAATAAAGTCATTGTAAAGTTTCGTAATATTTAGGTACTCCTCACACACACACATGCACACTTTTTTGTAACTCCAACTTTACTTCAACTGTCTTGGAGATACTAAAGACTTTAGTAAGTTTTTAGTGCATCGAAAGTAATGAATCGTTAAGCCTTCCGTTACGTTATTTTTGACTGATCTACACGAAAATCCTCTCCGCCAAACAAATACCTTCTTTCGATAAGTTCTACATATTTAACCCTTACACCGACCTTTAAATTGTCGTATCACGTAACGGAGTCCAGATATCAACAACATGCTTTAAGCAGGTGTAAGAATATACCTGTGTGATATTTATCTTTTTGTAGCATAATGGGATACGTTTTCTCTTAGCCTAGAGAAAGTATGTACAATCTGTCAACACTGCATGCGGGGTATCTGGGAATGTCCCTCATCTACGAACTCTCAACCCCCATTGGGCTTCAAAATGACATTGAACCCAATGTAATTCCAGATTTCACCGTACCCTATAGTCATCGGCCAGTTACTTATTGAATGACCCCTGTATACAAATCTCGTTTCCAATGTCTTGATTCCTTCTGTTTCTAGAAAATATCAGATGTTCTAAATGGGTATACAGGGTGTTTCTTAATGATATGCGAATATTTAAGGTTGTGAATCCACATGAAAAATTAAAGTTCGTTTGCTTTATAAACTATGGTCCACAAATGTTTCCTTACAAAAACTCGGAGTGTTGAAGTTTTAGGGAAAAAATGGAAATTAATTGATATTTTCAGAACCGCTTCAGATATTTCACTGATATTTAGTACGTAGTGAGAGTTGATAAAGTTGCATATTTTTCACTGCAAAAATAATTTTTTGCTTTAACAGTGGCGTACGTACGGGTATTCACTTCGATATTTCTTAAGAAAAAAATGTTACGCCAATGGTTTTTTGTCAAATAAAAATTATTTTTGAATTCCCCGTTGTGGAGGTTTAGTGATGTGTGTGACGATAAGGTGAATGTGCAAGGGACACTTGGCAACTATGGGAGGATTTGACAGTCAGTCGACCGACCCTAGACACGCGTCGGGGCAGGGTCGCCACGCATGTATTCTTTTTAAGTTTTGCTTAGAATTGCTGTTTTTTGCGAGATTTCAATAAATCGTATTCTCTCTCGAATCTACCGTTATTTACTCATCGAGAACCCACCCTCTGTCGATTGGTAGAATCGGCAGCCCAGTGCACCGTTCAATTTAAAACAAATGATCTCTCTGAAATTGAGGAAGCAGTGCTGTACGAAGTCGAAGAACATCCTGAAACGAGTACGAGGAAGATCGCTAGACACATATTTGCCATCAAATTGTTTGGAGAATTTTAGTGGATTTTTAGCTATATCCTTACCATATTTTAAGAGTACAGGCATAACTTCAAATTGACTTGACGGACAGACTTACCTCAATTTTCTTCAACAACAGTTGCCTTTGCTGCTTGATGATGTTCCGTTAGTAATAAGAAACAATATGTGGTACATGCACGATGATGCACCAGCGCATTCCAGTTTAGCGGTTCGTAATTATTTACAAACTGTTTATCCAAATTGTTGGATTGGCCGCTGTAGAGGAAATAAGAGATAATAGTTGCTGCTTGTGATAGAATAAAAAACACTTCAGTGATATTTCGACGAGTGCGCAATTCCATGAAGAGGGCGGAGGCATGCATACGAAGTGAAGGGAGCCATCTTCAACAATTTTTGTAATCACTTCATTGGTTTTAATGTTATGTTTATGTTGTCAGTTGTTGTTGTTCATTACCCCTAATGTGTTTAATTGTTCCAATTAAATTAATAATAATTTTGCAAGTTAGACAATAGAACGGTTTTTATTTTTTTACTCAAAAATGGCGCATCGAAGGAAAACAATTCATTTGTTTTAATGGGGAATTCAAAAATAAAAAAAATATTTTTATTTGACAAAAAACCATTGGCGTGCCATTTTTTTTTCTTAAAAAGTATCGAAGTCAATACCCGTACTCGCGCCACTGTTAAAGCTAAAAATTATTTTTGTATTGAAAAATATGCAACTTTATTAACTTTCACTACATACAAAATATCAGTGAAATATCTGAAGCGGTTCTGAAAATATTAATTAATTTCCATTTTTTTCCTACAACACCCCGAGTTTTTGTAAGGAAACATTTTTGGACCATAGTTTGTAGAGCAAACTAACATTAATTTTTCATGTAGATTCATACCCTTAATTATTCGCATATCATTAAGGAACACCCTGTATACGGATTTCCGTTAGAAGCAAGTTCATTATAAGTGGATTCCACTGTATTTACTTCTCTACTTTGTATAATACCTTGCAAAGCTCATGAAGAGACCAGAATAAGAAAATTGCAAACACTCCTCAATACTCAAAGTTAAAATGTAGGCCGACCAGCGCGAAAATCATCCATACGTATGGTCGCTCATTTTTGTAAGCGAAACCAAATTCATATCCAAGCAGATGTGAATGTACTTCATAATAGTATACCATCAATCATAAGAAGATAGACAACACGATATTTAAGAGACCAGTTAATGTAACATAAATGTAAATAATTTGTTAATGAGTTACCATACATGTAGTTTTCCACTAATTAGTAAAAATGAGTGGATACCAGCCAGGTTATTAACGTGTGCCAGAATCAGAGTGTGAATAGTTAACTTCAAAAAACGGTCGCAAAGCACACATTTCTGCGCTTTATGGTTAGTTAATCAAACATGCGATGATACAAATCTTTGGCATGTGTATACAGGGTGTCCGCAAAGTTGGGGTTTTCCTTTACACGACGTGTAGATCTTGAAAACATAAGCAATTTTTCTTAGTACCATATACACCAATGTCTTAAGGGAACCGAGATAAAGGGCTCTGCAACATCAAAAATATCTGAACACCGTCCTGTAGCCGCGACATCCCCGAGTGGTACTAGGACACTAGCTCAACCCGACGACAGAACTGGGTCGGGGTCAGTGTGTCAGGTCAGTGTGCAACCTTCAACCGACGGTTACGGTCACGCCTGTAGAGGTAATCGCGTAGACGAGAATCCCTCAACAAGCACTAGAGACGTGGCTAGAGAAGTGCAAGTATCAAAAACTAAAGTGTGGCAAACGCTGCGTGAAGAGGGGCTGTACCCGTTTCACGTCCAACGTGTACAAGCCCTTCAACCTGACGATTTTCCAGCAAGAGTGCGGTTTTGTGAGTGGTTGTCGCACCAACATGACAATAATCCGGACTTTTTGAAGTGCATACATTCACGCGTAATGGGGTGAATAACTTTCGCAACACTCATGTTTGGTCAGTAGAAAATCCGCACGCTGTCCGTCGGGCACATTTTCAATAAACATTTTCGGTGAATGTTTGGGCTGGCATGGTGAACGGTATGCTCATTGGACCATTTATTCTCCCAAATCGATTGGACGGGATGCAATACTTTTTTTCTGTTGGAGCGGTATGATTTCGGGCAGAGACGTACTTAGCCCTTCTTGTCAACTGGAGAGTGAGTACTTTTTCCTTTATTTTTTTTTACTTGGTCGCCCTCGTTTCACTACACATTACCTTTGTTATTTCAAGGGTAGTTATTTCTGAAAAGGAAAACCCCAACTTCGCGGACTAATAGAAAATTTGGTTTACACTAACTTTATTTCATCTTATCTTATCCCAGGTAGCTAAAGACAATACGTTGGATTCAGTCATCAAATTGTCAAATAAATCAACTCATCTTCGTAAGCTTAAAAGAAAAACTTAGCTGCGAAAGAGTTTTAGTTGCTGACGGCAAATTTCTACGACGAAACAATCAGGTTCGCAAATGAAGATTATGACAAGAGGCACAGTGGGGCGCTACTGAAGGCGTGCGCTGTGTTGCGATCACAGAACATCCGCTCAAAAGTAGGATTAATGCCTCTCGAATCAGACCACTAGCGCTCCGCTACGACGTCAGCTGACTGAAGGGCGCGCATTTAAAAAAAGGAAGTTATGCTGCCGCACCCTGTATGTATTATAAACTAAAATAAAACATTATATACTTCAAAATTACTTATCAGTCAGGATTACCTATGAATCTTAAACTGAAGTGTGAGTAAATCCTTTGGAATGGACTATGAACTAAAGCGTAGTACTTCATTTATTCATTTATTGATAATACAGTCTCACTTCACATATCTATGGCGATGCCTTTGCCTTCTATACTGACATCGGTCCACTGCCTCCGGTGGTGCTGAAATAAATACTTAAATCTAAAACTGATCACTACTGCTATTAAGACCCACACACGAAAATAGGAAAACAATATTCACCAACATTTCTGGTGCCAATGGTAAGTCTGGAATGAAAGTAGGGAATACATTGCCATACAAGATCGAAAAGGAATGAAAAGGATGAGACAGGAAAGATTACCAGACTGGAATTGATTCCACGGAGAAGAAGAAGAAGAAGAGGTAGGCCTAGAAGCATTTGGAAATACGAAATAAGGTTAGCAATGGAGAAAAGGCATTGCACATAACGTCGGACATCTGACAATACCTGCTACGAGGGATATATTTTAAGTTTTGCATATGGAAATAAAACAATACGGTAGGTAGTTTTAAATGACTATTGATTTTCGAAGTATTCTCCACGAAGATTAATACACATCTGCATGCGCTCGAACCAATTTTCGAAGCACTTATTCCACTCGTTTGCTGGAAGATCCAAAACCGCATTTTTGAATGCGTCAACTGCTTTCCTAACAGTAAATTAACGATTCAACACCACTAACAATGCTGTACACATTTTTTGAGTTTCCGGAATTGAAACGGTCAAGCGTTTTTTGACACCAATTAACCCTGGCTGCTTTCTGCTCTTCAGTTAAGAGGTGGGGTATCCAACGAGAAACTAATTTTCTTACTCTAATTCTTTAAGTAAAATTTTTTGAATTGAGGTCTTTGAGATGTTCAAGGACGCCTCAATCTCGCGATATGTCACATGTCTATCTTCAATGATGAGTTTGCGTACAGCATCGACGTTTTCCTGGGTATCTGCCGTTTTTGGTGCACCCACCCTGGGATCGTCACTTAGACTCGCCCGTCCACGTTTGAATTCTCCATACCAACGGGAAATTGTCGAAAAATGTATTCGGTTGAGTTCCATTTTTCTAATGACTTGGTAACACTTAAAAATTCACGGTAGTGAGAACACTGCACGTATTGTTGTGAAACTTTAAATTTAAGTTTACTAAAGAGTGAGGTTAAGATTCAGTACTGACGTTCGATCCGCGTGGCCTACTATGCTTCTATATGCAAAACTTAAAAGACATCCCTCGTATATGCAGGAACCGCAATTTTACACGGGACGAAAAAAACCTTATCAATTTTATACTACCGGCCTTAAGACTCGACAACTTTGGTCGCAAAAAATAAATGGCGTTTAACACATATTTAATGCGATTTTATCTAAATAAAGTTCTAATTGACAAAATTAGTGCAGATATCTGATATTTCTGCTAACTTTCTTTGCAGTTAGCAGATATTGTACTATGATGCATATATGGATTTAGTGAGATTCGTGTTAGAAAAACTGTTATTCATTATATCAAATTAAAAGTTTAATGCTTTTACAAATCAAAAAGATAATACTAGCATGTTTGTATTCTCAGTTACACCTTAAATGAACGTTCAGCTTCTTTCCTTGACATATGGCAAATTGTTAAACATGTGACAGTCCCTTAGATATAAATAACACTTATAATCTGAAATGACGGGTAGCTGTTTTGGTCTCATGGACAACTCCTGAGGCTCTACACTGAAGTCTAGTTTCACTTCAATTTTTCCATCGGGATTAGAACATAGTACTTTGATGTCCGTGACTACAATGCCCCTGCGTGGTCTAATTGTTGAGTATCGCTGCACCTCTGTTCGAGAGTAGTCCTTGAAAAAGTCGTAACTCAATTGGATCACCTCATATGGCTCTGGTTTCGTCCCAGATTCTTTTGACGCCTTAACATAGTCATTTGGTAATTCAATAATTCTATTTCCCAGTTTTCTTTAAATGTAACTGTGTACAGAATCACATTCCATTTGGGTGCGTCCTTTGGCGAGATATTTCTAACAAATCACAAAGCCGTGTTTCATTGCAAAGTTAAGAAAAATAGCACGCGTAATTGTCAGATAGCTGGAATTGCCTCTCATTGACAGACGTGTTGCCAGCGGTAGGTATTGTTTCGGCTGAATAATTCAAAAACCAAATTTATGCAGTTAGCGGACTCACAATGTGCGCTGTAGGTAGAAGAAGAAAAATGTGCATATACCTCAAATGGTGCAAAAATGTCAGAGAGCAGGTATTCTCAGATGTCCGAGGATAAGATTCCTGGAGAAACAAAAAGAACTGGCATTTAGGATGCGACAAACTGCGTCGGGCATCGTCAAAAATCGCTTTATGTACAAGGTGAGTTCTTAGTGTGGGCTCGATCGATAACTCATCACAAAAATTGTATCCAACAGGAAAATATTCATATCACCATAGGATGATTCATAAGTACGTGGTGACTCAAACATACATTTTTAAATAGAAAGCGCTACAGGGTGGTCAAGAAATGAGACACCCTGTATATTTTCACACTCTTTGATTCCCCTTTTCGCTAGCTTGTTTATATAAGGGCTTTGTATGACTGGTTTCCGAGTTACAGCTACCCCTTTTGTAAATCAGATATCAAGGTAAATTGGAAAATATCACAATACAATTCAAGATAAGAAATAGTATTTGGGCTGAAACAGCAGATCGTAAGATTTGGTGTATCTTTGATATGAAAGAAATTTGCCCAAGTTTATTCAATATAGCCAAATAGTATCCGTGTGTGATTAGTAAGTCCAACCAATCGTAAACTATGTCCAACAGTTTGGAAACAAAACCCCATAGTATGTTAGATCGCATTGCTTCTATCTATCCTAATAATCAATAATATATAGAGCACTCTTTTTAAAATGAAAAATAAATGTTTGTTCCACCATATAGTTACGAATCACCCTGTAGAGACAAGAATATTTTCCAAGTCAGGAGCATAATGTTAGCTACAATTTTTGTATTTAACATTTTTACATAGATACCATACTTAATCGACCTAGCCCACAGTGAAGACTTTCCTGTATCGTCACCTGTATTTATTTCTTCGCATGGGCCTTCATGTTGTCCTCTGTCGCATAGGAGATTGTTAGTGCAGGGTATAGCGAGGTTTTGATAGGGTGTTTTCAAGTCTTCACCATCTCCCAATTCAATAGCCGGACGAAGTTGGAGGCTGTTATTTTGAACAAACTTGGCTAAAGGTATTCTTGGATGTTTAGCCCTGTCCATCATGCCTTCCACTGCCAGCCGCGTTTCTTTTGGAAATGTAATTTTTTCTTTCTTCCACGTGTCAGCCACGTAGTTATCCGACCATTCTTGGTTGTTATCTACAGAATACACCAATGTTTAGATCGTATATTAGAATATACGTATAGAGTGGTGGTTTTCTGTTCAGTTTCAATTCTGAGAACTTGAAAAAAAATGTTTTGAAATACTAATAGATGTGTTCACCTGTAACAACTAGGGTGCAAAGGATTTTTTTTGTTTTTTTTTTCTACATCCGTTACATGTCCAGGAAGTATCTTTGCATCAGCTCGGAGAATATTTTGATTGTTTTTGTCCATAATCTCATTAAAAAAGTATCGCCTTCAACGGAATTGATGTTTCCATTCCAAAATTGCGTAAAAACTGTTGAACCAGTTTGTCAAACAAATGTTAAAATCCGCCAGTCTTATAAGGTTTTTTATACCATTTTGAAGAAAAAAGGTTCACATGGACTTTCCTCTAGAGTTGATAGTTTTGAATCTCGCGAACTATCAACTTTAGAGAAAAGTTCATAGAAGTCACTTGCTCTGAAATGACCCAAACAAGCTAACAAATATCGTTCGGAGAAAAAACATGACTTTTTGGAATCTGTTAAAAAGTCAGTAATCAATTTTTGACACAAGAAACTTGATCTTAATATATTTTCGAGTCGATCGGACCTCATTCTAACTGAATTTCTATAGAATTTCTATATTGAAATTATCATAACTCCGCCTGCATTATCCACTAGGTGGATTGATTAGCTTGGTGAGTGATGTTGCTGGTCACAAGCCCGGATAAAGGAGGAGGGTTGTAGGGTTAGGTTAGCAGCATGACATATATAAAAAATAAAAAAGCTCAACGAACCAGTGAAGAGTCTCGCACTAGGACGGAAAATATGGTAACGAAAGAGGCGAGAAAAAGGACGACGAACTGGAAAACGAAAAATATAATGAGAGTGGCTACATGGAACATAAAAAGCCTAAATAACTGAGATCAGGAAATAGAAATAGAAAAAGATTTGATATAACATCAAATAGATATCTGCGCCCTGCAGGAAACAAAGAGGAAAGGTAGAGGACACACGCTGCTTGGAGAATATTTACTAGTATATAGTGGTGTTCCGCAACAAGAGTGAGCAAAGGAAGGTGTAGCAATAATGATCAAAACAAAATATAAAGATCAAATTAAAGATTGACAGTACATATCTCAGAGGATACTTTTAGTAAAGATTAGAGCGAACTGCAAAATTATAAACATATATGCACCAGAAGACTGCAAACCTGACAGCGAAAGAAGAATTCTATGATGAGCTCCAAACATTAGTGGAAAAAGAAGTAAAGCAAAACGAATTACTTATATTATTGGGAGATTTCAGTTGCCAGAATAGGAGACGAAGTAATACCTGGAATAAAACAAAGGTTTAACGAAAGAGTCATCAATGAGAACGGAAAGAGAATGGTGGACTTCTGCACATCAAACAAACTGAGAATAACCAACACATTTTTTGATCATAAAATTCAACACAAATACATGTTTGAAAATACTAGAGGACAGAGATCAATGATAGATTATGCGGTCACAAACAGAAATATTCACCATAAACAGATGTGAGAGGGTTGACGTCACCCAACGTGGGAAGCGATCATTATTTGGTACTTGGCAAAATTAAACGAATTTAGAGGTAATTATAAAAATAGAAAATTTAAGAGATGACCCCATAAAATCATTATATCAAAAAAGGCTAGAACAGAAAATAAATAATAGAAAATATCGAAAATGAAAAAATGTAGAAGCTAGCTGGAGAAAACTCAAGAAAAATATTCTGGACGCTGCCCGAGAAGCCCTTGGAACGAAAATAATAAACAAAAACAAAAAGTGGTCAACGAAAACACCATGGTTTACACTAGAGGTTAAACAAAAACGTCACCAAAGAAAGAAAGCTTTGCTAAAATATAAGTCAGATAAAACCAATGAATCATATGAAGAACATAAAAGAATAAGAACTGAAACTCATCAATTGGTAAGAAAAACAAAAACAGATTACTGGGAAAGATTCACAAAAGGACTAGAGATGGATTTCTACGGACAACAGAAACAAGTATGGCGCTTCATAAGACAACAAAGAAGCGAAATGAAAGAACTAGTTAAAAGAGGATACATGGGTGGCCTTCCTGACAGAAATGTATAAAAAAGAAAAAGGAAGAATCTTTACCAGAAACGCCAAATATAATAACTGATGAAAAGACCGAAATCTCCCAAGAAGATGTGAAACAAGGAATAAATAAATTAAAAAATAGAAAGTCACCAGGAGAAGATCAAATACCAATTGAAACTCTTAAAATATGGAGGTGATTACCTCGTACAACAACTGCAACTCCTTATTCAAAAAATAATCCCCACGAACAGAATGCCAGATGAAAGGAGGAGAGCGATCATGCTGATGTTCTTCAAGAAAGGAGATAAGAAAGACCCCAATAATTATCGAGCAATAAGTCTGTTAAATACTCAAATTGACAACAAGAATAATAGCGACAAAAATAAACGAACGAATACTTTGCAAGAGGAACAACAAGGATTCCGGACAGGAAGATCAAGCACGGATGCAGATTTTGTTATAAGACAAATAAAAGAAAAGTCGCTGGAATACAACAAACCAGCATATATGTGCCTGATAGATTTGAAGAAAACGTTTGATAGAGTGAGAATTCGGGACTCGATACATTTATTTTATGACAGGGGAATACCACCAAAACTATTGAGAATATATATGAAGATAACATAGCTATGGTAAGATGTAAAGGAAAACTCTCGCAACCTATCAAGTATGAAACTGGCAATAGACAAGGAGATTCGCTGAGCCCACTAATATTTAATCTGGTAATGGATGAAATCTTAAGGAAAGTTAAAAAAAGAAGAGGATATAGAATGGGAGAAAAGGAAATGCAGATAATATGCTACGCCGACGACGCCATAATAATAGCCGAAAATGAAGATGACCTACAAAGACTAATAAAATAATACGAAGATACGGCGCTCATATACAGGGTGACTTCGAAGTTGAGTCATTTATTTTTTTATTTTAACAGTGAGTAGATCTGATCAAAAGAAATGTTTTTTTCCTTTAACATTTTTCTGGTAAATTTAAATTAACAAAGTTATAGTCCTTTAGAAGTTTGAGTACCGCCCTGTCTCAATAATAATATTATGTGCTCGTGTTTGGCAACAACGGATATAATCCGCCTTATCGGTTCATCGCATCGGAAACAAAAAAGCGAAAGAATTTGAAACGTTTATCACGATGTCAGTCAATGTTTCAGTCAGTAACGCGTGAGTGAATAGTGGTGTTTGTTGCGTGGCTCAAACAAAATAAAAAATGGCACATGTTTACGAAAAAGCTGAACTTGTGAACTTGTGGACATGATTCTTATTTAATCGAGTGCAACCAACCCCTCGTGCCTTTGTTAATGTAGTACAAAGGGCTCGTGAATCAGGTGACTTAAGACCTCACAGAGGAGGGCATGCCGGTGCTCCAAGACCGCACGAACAAATACAGGTCCGCACTGAAATACTTGTCGGGAGGATACTTTATAAAACAAGGTAACATTTTTTTTAATTTTTTTTTAATTTTTACACACATATTTTGGTTTATCTTCCTTCTACAATCATTATCTGAAAATTAATGACCTCAACTTCAAAGTCACCCTGTATAACATGGTGATTTCAACAGAGAAAACTAAATCGATAGTGATATCAGCGGAACCGAGACGATGTAAACTGGTCGTAAATAACAAAATAATAGAACAAGTGATGGAAACGGAATACTTGAGAATCAAACTGTCATGCTATGGAAAAGTGGATGAAGAGGTACAAAAACAAGTGAACATGGCGAACAGAGCAGCAGGACGTCTCAACAATACAATCTGAAGAAACAAATACCTCACAACGGAAACGAAAACTAGGATATATAAATCAACAATAAGACCGATAATGACGTACACAGCGGAAACAAGAGCAGATACGGAGAAAACACAAATATTATTGGAAACAGCAGAAATGAAAGGCTTATGAAAAATAACAAACCAAACTCTAAGAGACAGAGTAAGAAGTGAGGAAATACGAGCGAGATGTGATATAGAGGAAATAAACCTGTGGACCAAAAGAAGAAAAATAGAATGGAATCAACACATACAAAGAATGACAGAATATAGAACAGTACGAATAGCAAGAGACAAATCGCCAAATGGAAGAAGATCAGTGGGACGACCGAGGAAAAGATCGTCAGACAACATCAATTGAGGCTAAAACCCGAAGTAAAACAGGCATGAGCCTATTAATAAAGTAGAAAGAAGAAATTATCATAATGGTAGTGTCAAAACTCTCATAGCGGTTACATGAAATGTATGACGGGCAAGGCGACATCGAAATTAATATCTTCTAGGGTAAAGAATGTGTTGGTTTTGAGTAACTTCTTGGGAGGAAGTACCCGCGGCCCAATGGGGCCTAAGAATGGTGATCTTGGCAGCTAATTACCCTTCCATCCCTATAGATCGTACGTGATACAAGTTACCCAAAGGAGAGAGATGAGAGTGGTGTCTTATGGAATAGTAATAGTAACGCCACAGTAAATACTGATCGTGTGGAATTCGTCTTGAATACAGCTTACCTGTAGAATTCTCATAAGTATCGAACTTCGGAAAACTCTTCTTCGCGCGGTTCATCAAACCAGTATAAGGGCAAGTACAATTTTGGATTTCCTTCGAAGAGATGCCTCCTTTATGAATTGATAACTTTCGAAGAAGAGCACTTTTGCCGTTTATCCTGTTATATTTTTCAACCTGGGTTTTCACGAAACTTTTTTCTCTTTGAAATGTACTTTTTGATCGACTGTTTCGATTTACAGCAATTTCTTTGCTGTCTTGATATTGATTCTTGGAGATATCGTAACACGAACCTCGTTCCTTTGTGGGAATAGCTTCACAGTCGTAGTGTGTATCACCACTATAGTTTTCACTAGTTTGTAGATGCCGTGGTCTTGTTTCACATGTTGATTGGTTAGACTTCAACCTATTTGAAATAACTCTATTTAACCGGTGCTGTTCTGCCATGACTTGGCTTGAGCTTTGTCTTCCCGGAACTTTCGTTTTAGGTCGCATTCTATCTAACATTGGCTCTTCAGATATTGGCCATAATAAACCAGATGTGCTTGTTGACTTATCAATCCTTGTATCTTTTGTCTTTGCATTTATGTCAACTTCCTTTATAGGAATCGTATCTGCGAATTCATCGAAATATTTCGCTTCTGCACTATCTTCCGCCAAATTATGTAACAGATGTCTCATTATCTTGTGATCCGGTATGTGCTTCCCCAGCGGCATAATCTTGTTTCTACAATAAAAGTCCTAGTTTAGTCAAAATCGATGAATTAATGAGAAAATTAAGTCGATTGGCTCACTCTGTCTTCATTGTGTATACAATCATGTGTCTTATATACCTATTTTACATTCGGTATGTATCACTGAGAAAGAAGTTTAATTAAACCAAATAAAATTTTAGCTAGGACAATAAAAAACTTAGTTGACAGCTAACAAGATTAATTAGTTTAATAGAACTCCGATTTCTAAAACAGTTTATTTGAATCTATGAAACCAAAATGCAGTCGTTTAATTAAATTTATGAAACCGTTTACTTAGATTGACTAAACCAATTTATTAGAAATTAATGAACTAATAAAAGGCTCCAAGTAAAACAATTTAATTATATCTATTAAATTTGTTTAATTAATTTAGGTAAAACTGTTTGCCTAGTCCTAAAGGATTATTTTATTTAGATGTAAGAGGATATTTTGATAATATTTGGAATTGAAAAGAGCACATTACGTTGCAGATATCAGAAAATCGGAAAACTAATTGATATTTTCGAATCAAAATAAAAACATAAAACGATATTTTTATTTTCATTAATTGTGAACTTATTATATATGGGATCAAGCTTTACCAATTATTTGTCTGATTGTCAAGAAACAGGTTATAATACGAGTATATTACCATTCACTATACTACAACTAGTTAAAACTGTAATGACTCATACGCGTGATCAACACGTGATCACAGCTCGATCCCGACTTCCTTCCAGTACAGCCGTATAGCGTACGACATATGTCGTTTCTGTGGCTTTGCGGTAGTCAACAGCACAGACAGAGAAGGAAATACTGGCTGATTGTTCTCCGCCGGTAGAACCAATGAAATCAAAGACGCGCCTCGACCGGCAGACTCATAGGCGTCGGCAACGCATTGGAACGTGTTTCGTTGAGCGATCGCATATTGTGTGTTTTTATAATAATTGTTGTGTGATTGTTATTGTTGTGGTTTCTGTGGTTACTGTTTTGGTTATACTTAACCATGGAGAGTACAAATGGTACGGGTGGAAGTACTGAAAGCCAGGGAACAAGTAGACGGCTTCGTAAAGCACTGAAGAGGGACGCGAAAGAAATCGTGCTCAACGTGTTCAATTATCTGAACAGAACTATGTCGCAGGGAGATGCACTCGCGCGTTGTGAAAGTATGACAGGCGTTCCAGAGTGGACCATTCGCAGGGTGGTGCATGAAAAGAAGAAAACTGGAGCTACTACTGATCCAAAGTTTAATTTGAAGGGACGAAAGGCCGTTAAATTGGATGACGATAGCAAAATGGCGTTAAGGCGAACCGTACATTCATTCTTCTTTAGGAATGAGATACCAACCCTCAAGGCTGTACATGCAGCGATCAAGAAAAATGAAATTATACCCCAAATGAGCGTCGAGGTAATGAGAAAATCCCTGCACGAAATTAATTTTCGTTACGAAACGCGTAATCGGAAGTCAGTATTGATAGAGAGACCTGAAATAGTCGCCTGGCGTCGAAAATCCCTCGCGAAATGATTGAATATAGGCGACAAAGCAGAAAAATCTATTATTTGGACGAGACATGGGTAAATGCAGGTCACACAGTTAAAAAAAGCTGGATAGACAAAAACGTAGTGAGTAACTGACAAGCAAGCATTGAAGGTTTGTCAACAGGTCTTCGTGGACCGTCAGGGAAAGGTCAAAGATTGATCGTAACTCATATTGGTAGCGATAGTGGCTTTTTAGAAGAGTGTGACTTGATTTTCGTCTCTAAGAAAGGAGGTGATTACCATGACGAAATGAATGCCAGCTGCTTCGAGAGCTGGTTTCAAGGGGTGCTTCAGCGAGTTTACCCAACTCTGTGATCGTCATGGATAATGCTTCCTATCATAGTCGTCGAGCCAAACGTGTACCGACTATGGGATCTCGAAAAAGTAACATGCAGCAATGGTTGCGCGAAAAAGGAATCCCGTTTGACGATTAATGTGTGAAAGCGGAATTGTATGAAAAAATTAAACAGCACAAACCTGCGAACATTAGTTACGTGACTGATGAGATGGCCCGTCAATGTGGTGTCACTGTGCTGCGGTTACCGGCCTACCACTGTGAATTGAACCCAATAGAGCTCATCTGGGCTCAAGTGAAGGGTTATATTGCGCGCCATAACACAACCTCCAAATTACCAGACGTTAAGGTTTTACTTGAGACTTCCATACAGCTAGTAACGCCCGAAGCTTGGCAGAATGCTATCCGTCATTTTGTGAAGGAAGAAACAAAAATGTGGCAGCTTGACCACCACATCGACACCATCATAGAGCCAGTTATAGTCAGTTTCGACGAGGAAAGCGATAGCGACAGTTTATTACTGTCAGATATAAGTGGAAGCGACGATGAATAAAGGTAATTCCCAAATTTTTGACTTACAATATGTTTCAAACCACTCTTTATTAAGCATGTGACAAATCTAGTTCACCCATGTTAAACATTCATACCCCGCCTATGAACAGCCGACTACTGGTAGTTAAGTGATGTTCACATGAACATCGATGAGTCATTACAGTTTTAGATAGTTATAGTATAGAAGTAAATAAAGTAAGAAAGTATGGAGAGGGAAAGCTGAAAATGACTTGATCATGTATTATACAAAAATTGTATTTTATTTCTAATAATAAAACAGTATTGTACTCACCCGCAGTCAACGCATTTACATATATAAATAAATTATACATCACTTCAAACAGACTAGGATATTTTCAAATACCACATCTTATTCATACAATATAAAAGAATAGCGCACCAAGTCTATGTTAAGTACGTGTTTGGTATAAATGTATCATTGAAAAATTAAGGCTTAATAAATAATAAATAACATTTCAAAGTTCTTACCATTCCGTCACGTCAGCAGTGACTCCCCTATACAGAGCTTATTAAAATGTTTGATTATTTTAACTGTACTATTTCTACATTACAACTAAATTATCTGAACTAATTAAACAGTTTCATAAAACAGGACCCTGGTTTGCTATGTCCAATTATCTGCTTTTAGAAAATTCAGTTCAAATAATCCGAATAATTTAGTTACTTACCATTAAAAAAAGTTATTTCTGGTAGTGAAACCGACCTTACCTGAAGAATGTGTGCAGTGAAGTGTTGTTACTGGTTACCGGCTTTTTTGTACAATGAAAGTTATTTTCCTTGCTCGGAGTAACTCTTTGGAAACTTTGGATAACTTTCGGAATAATCTCTTTGGTCGTATCCTTTTCTTGTGGTTTAATCCCATTTTCCAGGTGGTTTATAATATCTCTATAAGATGTCTCTAACCTGTGATATTTGTTCCTCATTTTCTTTATGGGAGTCATTTCACTGAATTTGCTTCTTGCAACTGAGGGTTCTTTCATCTTCAGAGTGAAAGGCGGACGATTGTAATATTTATCTACGACTTTTCTTCTATGCGTATGGTTCTCATTTGTCATAGCATCAACATCGATTCTGTTTCTGTAAGGAATGCATATAACATTGCTTGTGTACTGTCCAGCCAGCGGCGAGCTTATAAATTCCAGTGTGGAAACAGGATGTCTTCCCCATGATTGGAAAATGTCAACAGTCAAACTGTTGTCAATCAACAATTACGTCAATGCGTAGAAGAAAATAAATTAAGGACCATTCGTGTGAGAGTGCGCTTCAGTCTGTTATTTCAGGATGGAAGAATGTCTTGAGTATGGGTTTGAAGGAAACGTTTTAAGATGGTTCTCAGGATACTTGGAACAAAGAACTCAGCGAACAAAGAACAAAAACTCCTTGTATTCTGTAAGAGAAAATAGACATGGTGTGCCTCAGGGAACAGGGTTGGGTCCTGATCTATTCGTGCTGTTTATAAATGATTTTGTAAGGGCTGTAAAAAATTGCAAAATTCAGTTATTGGCAGACGATACAATTTTGTTCATGGAACGTGACAACATAGACAATTTGGTTAAAATGGTTAATGCAGATTTAAAGACATTATATGCCTAGTTAGGGAACAATAGTCTTAGTATTAATGTTGACAAGACTAAGTGTATGATACAGAAATCTAGATTTAAGATTCAGGATACCTATCTGCACGATGGACTTATGATTGAAAATAATAAGATTAAACAGATTAACAAGTATAAATATTTATGAGTTATGATAGACTCAAATTTAACATTCAACAGCCATGCAGATTATATTATAAAAAAAGTTTCTAAAAAAGTTAATTTAATGTGTAGGGTAACAAAGGACCTTAGTTCATGAACGTCACTGCTTATATAAAAAACAATAGTCATGTCTGACTTTAACTACTGTTTCTCCATATTATATACGTTTCAGAAAGGTGATATAGATTCACTACAGAGAAAACAAAATCAGGCTCTTATGCCGGAACCGCACGCTTGCCAAATCGCCGCAAATCGTCACAAACGCAAACATGCGGATAGAGCGTTTGGCATGGTTTGCGTGGGTTTGCAAGCGCTTGTAGCCGATCCGATCGGGTGTCGGTTTTTTGGTCGCAAATCAAAAGGAGTTTGCCACAAGCGTTTGTGACACATCCATATACGTTTGTGATAGGTACTATTTTTGAAACTAAATATCAATTTCATTAAAACAAATACCATTTACCTGGTACGATTCATATGAATATTTAACATCCAACACCTTCTTGGTCGTACTCTTCGTTTTATCTGACTTTTTTTTGGTTTTATAATAAAACTAGCTTAAGCCAAATGCTACGGCAGACACAAGTTCGACGTCCGTCATGTTTGCCTGTTGCCTTTTCAGTGACGCACCCGCAAACGTGTGGACTGCGACGTTTGCTTCTTCAAAAAAGGGTTTGGAGTTCCAGCATTAGATGTATAATAAGATGTAATAGGTACACAAGAATTAAAAACATTTTAGAAGTAACTAATTTATTAGGTATCAAACAAAATATATTTTACAATACAATGATAGTCATCTACAAAATAAAGAATGGAATGTATCCCGAACACATATTGTAAGGTTTGAAATTTGTCTGTGATATTCATAGTTACAATACAAGGAATAGGTTTGATTTTTATGCTGTGGAGTCTGCTTTTGCGCAAAATAGTTTATTTCATGAAGGCCTTACAGATTTTAATAATTTACCAGCTGAAGTCAAATCTACAAATTTGGTCAAATTCAAAAGACAATTGAGAATTTATGTAGAAAATAGTGTCAGTTTTAAATAATAACATTATATTTATTGTATTGTTTAGCTTAAAGCTATTAATAAAGATACTAATTCATGGTAGTTAGTAGTAGCCCATGTCAGTTAATGCGCTCTCACATCTTCCAAGTAACGATTCCGTTTAAAAGCTAGAACGTCTTTTAGAGGTAGAGACTGACAGATTTCAGCCGTTGCTTTCATACTTTTGTATATTTGTGGAAAACTGAATAATCAAACCTGCAATTTAATGCTCGGTTGCAAATCTATCTCTTAGCAAAGGTGATCCATATTGTAAAGTCTACCTGAAATTCGATTTCTGACTTCTGTTGCACCGCACCGAATTGGTCAATACTTAGGCGGATGTGACACGATCAGTATTTGTTGTGATCCGTCAACATGTCATATTTTTTGACCGGCATGTAACCTGGACGTCAGTAACTATTGATGTATAAGGTAACACAGAAATCCGCTAACACGGAATCATCTTCTGTAAATACTGATCGTTCAGACCACAGTAAATACTGATTTTCAATGTTTTTGTGCAAAAACCACTGACAGAATGTTAGTCTGCGAGGATAGTCTTCTGGTAACAAGGCCTGCACTCGTTGTACATGGTAGGGATAAAGCAAATTTTACCGTAGGATTCTATGGACTATGGTATGCGATAGTCCTACGCGGCGGCCTAATTCCCGAGTGCTGATATCTGCATTGATTTCCACGATATTTAATAATTGTTCCTCCTGCTTCCCAGTAACCTGTCTTTCTCGAGTGCGAATATTAGTGGGCTGAACACTTCCTGTATCTCGAAGTCTTTGGTACACTTGCACAAATGTCCTTCTGTCTGAGTGTACCCGTTGGCGAAATCTGTCTCGATAAATTTTAGCTGCAAGATTTGAACTCTGAAGAGCTTCACCGTAAACTAACATGTCGGCGAACTCTTGTTTCGAGAACATTGTTAATAAACACGACGACGTACGCGAACAATAACTAACCACTGTTACCGTTTGCGATCGATTGCCGGTTCGATAAGAGTGATGAATGACCGATGCATTGTTGTCATGTGTTTTTTAATTATTTAATTGAATGAAACTTACTTACTGACATAGAACTGCCTCAGAAGAATGGTAATGTTGTTCGAGCGTGGATATATATCTATGTATCTAAAAAATTATATTTGTTGTTGGCTTTGTCCTAGCAGTGCAAGTGACAATGACTGTATTAAAATTGTATAAACACAAAATGGCGGATGTTATTAAAAAAATCAACATTGAGATGCATATTTCACGGGTTACATTTCGAACGGATTTTGGGTGTAGAGCACAATTAAGTTTTAATTTATTAAGCTTCATTAGATTACTGTCGCTGTATTAAGACAAAATTAGTTGTGACTTGCAATTTACCTAAGCCTGCTACCTATCTCCTTTATGCTATTACGGCAATGGCACCTTTAATTGTAATTAGTACCATATAGTTGGTACTCAGATTTTTTGGTCTAACAGAACATAAACGGTTATGACCAGATGCAAGGAAGTTGTTTGATTTATTACGCGATTCGCGCCTGGCATATGCTTTTTCGTTTTTCTAAATGAAGATATATCGAATAATTATACACCTGTCAGTGATGTCAGGGAATTCTTTCATCTTGATGGTACGTTATTCCGCAGGAAAGTTCCTAACGACTAGAATATGCTTTTAATTCAGTCGATAAAACTTTGGATGGAATAGTGGACATATTTTCGGGAAAACAGGGAAAGTATTATATTTTATGAAAGGACTTCACAGGTACCTAATCAAAATATGTGTCACAGATTTTAAATCTTAACCTCTATTTCTCCTAGATAATAATTTAGTTGATTTCACTGTGTTTGAAAAGTCTATAACAAAACATTATACATAAGTTGTTGCTGTAACTCTTCTAAAGTGCAGATAGGGTGAGTTTTTAGTGTGGGCTCAGTTGATATCTCCGTTATTATGCATGTCATCTAAAAAGGTTAATTACAAAAATTGTAACCAACAGCATGCTCTTCACTTATTTGTATGCTTACAAGGTGATTCATAGCTACGTGGTAACCCGAACATAAATTTATTTAAATCGAAAGCCCAACATTTTACTGCAGACTTGAATAGGCTCTTTCAAACGAAATTACTTGATATCACATATTGTATAGGGTTTTGTTTTCAAATGATTGAGATATTGGATAACGGAAAAGACATTCAACTTGGAGACTAGCACCTCTTCAATTATTATAGCTAGAGTATTGAATACATTTTACTGCAGATTTGAATAGGCCTTTCAAACGAAATTACTTGAGATCACACATTGTATAGGGTTTTGTTTTCAAATTACTGAGATATTGGATAACGGAAAAGACATTCAACTTGGCGACTAGCACCTCCTCAATTATTATAGCTAGAGTATTGAATTTTTGGCTACACACATTTTATGATCAGATATTTTCGTTCTATTCACTTACTTTTTTAGCAAAGTGAACTAGTTCTAAAATTTTAAAATGAAACACCCTGTATATTTTCACATGCTTTTATACCTTTTCACAATTTTTTTTTATATAAGTCTTATGGGAGATTGTTTGATTGGTTTTTGAGTTACAGCTAACCCTTTTGTCAATCTGATATTAAGAGGAATGAAAAATATTATAAGAGAATAAAAAATAGTATTTAGTTCGTAACAGAAAATCGTTGGAATTGATGTATTTTTATTTTAAATAAAATCTAACCAACCTTATGAAATAAAGCCGGAATGTTAACTCAAAAACCAATCGTGTAAATGCCCATACAGAAAAAAGCTTGAGAAAACCGGCATCAAATAATGTGAAAATAAAGTGTTCCACTTGAAACTTTCGAGTTGATTTTGCGTTCTTGACCACCCTGTTGAAAAAATCAAAAAGTAAGTAGATAGGGAGAATATAATTATGCCATCAAAAAATTCGGTACTCTAACTAGAACAGTTGTGGGGATGCGAGTTGGGTATTGATTGTCCAATGTCTCAACTAACTGAAAATAAAATTCTACAGTGGGTTACATAAAATTGCTCTGCTTGAAAGGGACTATCCAAAGATACAATTAAATGTACAGTTTTCCATTTAAGGAAAAATGAATGTTTGTGTCAGCACATAGTTACGAATCACCCTATAGTGACAAAAATATTTTCCTAGGCGAAGTATACTGTAGGCAACAATTTTGGTATTTAAATTTTTTAGATAACATGTGTAATAACTGAGTTATCGACCGAGTTCGCACTAAAAACTCAACCAGTGAGGTCATGGTTTTAAGCAATATACAGTAATGAATAAAAGTATATAGACAAATATGAATATTTACCTAAATACCTTTAGGTAAAACGAATTCATACTTCATTGCTCCATAAACGTAATGCGTTATTAGTAGAAGAACTAAATTCCTTGCTTTTACATTATCTGAAATGAACCCAATACAAGTCTGAATATAAGCACTTTTTTATGAGGGACAAAAATATGTAAACAAATTCTTTTCAACATTAGTTTAATACAGTTACTTTTCAGAAGAGGATTAGTTTGTATTCATCAAGTATTGTGTAATAAGTTGAGTGATTTTAGAACCATGCCACGGGGTCCAGAAATTTCTTTCGATGTGAAAACTAAGATCATTGAGTTATACAAAGATGGTCAACGTCAAGTCGACATTGCCAAAAATTTGAAGCTGAGGTGTAAAGCAGTTTGGGCAATATTGAACAAATATAAACAAAAAGGTATCTTGGAAGCCTCTAAGTGGTCGGCCTAGAAAACTAAATGCTAGGTCAGTTAGATTAATAAAAGTAATTTCGTCCAAAGATCCGTTTAAAACCCCAACATAAATAAAAGACGGAATCGAGACAAAAGGAATTGTCAGTGTTTCTACGAAAACTATAAGTTGAAGATTAAATGATTTGAAGTTATTTGCACGTCGCCCGTCCTAGTAGACAAAGATTGAACCCCAAGTACACTTTGCCCACTGTCAAACATGGAGGCGGGTCCGTTATGGTTTGGGAGTGCTTTTCGGGGTCTGGGTGGGACCTTTACATAGACTAGGTGGCATTATGGATAAGTTTGCATACACAGACGTACTAAAGCATGTCATGTTACCCTATATGGAAGACAATATGCCCTTAAGATCAATCTTCCAGCAAGATAATGACCCGAAGCACACTTCAAATCTCGCAAAGAAATTCTTTCTGTATGAAAAAATACCAGTTCTCAAATGGCCTTCATAATCTCCCGATATAAACCATTGAAAATCTATGGGAATACTTAGATAAGCAAATACGAGATAAAAATTATTCAAACAAGGATGAGCATTTTGAAGCTTTAGAGCAAAAGTGGAGACAGATTGATGAATCTTATATTAAGAAACTTCTACAATATATGCCGAGACGATGCCAGGCGGTGATTGATAATAATGGTTATGCTACAAAATATTAACACAAACATGGTTGGTTTTCTATAATTCAATGAACTTCGCTTCTTTTTTCTATAATTGTCTAATGCATTTATTTATGTATAAGTGACTATTATGCTATAACGAATTATCTATACAGGTTGGTGTATTAATAAAACAAGTTAAAAGAGAAATACAGCACAATAATAATTTGTCTATATACTTTTGTCCATTACTGTACATTAAAGATACAATTTTACATCCTTTCTTACAAAGGTTTAAGTCTGGAAATTCATCCGCAGGATAGTGTCTAGATTCTACAGTCAGAGACAAAATAAACCCAACAAGCAAATTATTTTTCATTTTCAACAAGATTTTAATTTTTCCGGTAGGTGGTAGGTACAGTCATTGGCTTTAATTTGTATATCTAGTTTCTTCATTGTCGCCACGGTGATTACAGGGTAAGTCAGAATGATATTGCATCACCTCAACTTTGAGTCACTCTGTGGTGTGACTCCATGGTTTCTATTATCAAAAACTACATTATGTCTATAATCTATTTTTTTATGCACGACAATATGCACAGTTGTTAAAGTTTTACAGGCAAATGAATATTTTACAATCAATTTTCCTTCTTTATTAGATAACTTTACGAATTCAAAAAGTATTTCATCAGATTGTACAGACATTTATTGCCTTTCTGTGTTGGTTTCACATTTTTTAACCGTCTTTTATTTCGTTTATCTACAGTGGCGAAGAAATTGAAAACTAGAACTAAGAGCACGCCGTATGATAACTTCGCCCTCTACCTTTTACTTCCCACGCCGACTGGCGGGAAAGCATAGTAATCGCTAAATTTTTGGAAAATGAGGTAAGCTTTTCGAAAAACCATGTCACTTTTTTTGAGAAGTATAGCTCGGATATTGATGAAATTTTTACACATTATTACTACTATTTCAAAAGTTTCTGAAAATCGGTTCAGTGGTGGCGGAAAAAAGGCAAAAAACAAATAAAATAGATATCGATCAAACTTCGTTTGTTGGCGTTTCAGACGATTTTCGGAAAGGTTTTTTTAAGGGTATTAAATTGGGGTTAGAGGTTGCAGGGGGGAGGGTATATATATTGACGTTGATATACTATTTATAGGCCTCTACCCCGAGTAATTCTACGCACGTAGTAGGCATATTTCACTAATCATGTCCCCATACATTTACCCTTGAGCTAATCATAATCCTTTACGAGCTGATGACACCGTAGTGTGGGAAGTACAGAGTCAACTAACTTGACGCAATTTTTTGAAATATACTCATATCCTTTAATTTTGGGTTCAAGATAATTCGAGCGACTATTATTCTTTTGGAGCAGGATGAATCTAATATAACAATTCACTAATTCATCAGCTAGGCGCGATCTGGTCGGTCAGCGCTCATTTTTCTGCTCATCGGCGCTTTTGATGAGAACCCATATTTTAGAAAACGAGCGAATAGGTCGAGTGTCGAGTATAATCACTAATAGAATGTGAGCGGATCTCTTCCTATGACATATTCTGATAGTAATTGACACAAGGACTGATTTAGGAACCTGTCTATGGGGGCAGCGGTGGTCGCAGTATTCATGTTTAGGGGGTCCATTAATTACGTCTCTTGAGATCGTGAGTGAGTGCTCAATGACTGTATTAGGATAAGTATTATTTTATTACTGGTAATTTTAATGTAAGATTTATCAAGCATTTAAGTATTGTATCATTCAATTTTATCACTGTAATCTTAGAGTGTCATCTAAGGCCCGTATCGCCAGTCGTCCCTACAATTGTAGGGCGCGTTTATAGCCTCCTTGATTGTCATAGTTTTCTACTTCTCCGTGTCAGAGCTCTATTTTGAGGTTATGTCACAAACATCTATTTGCATGAAATTGTGCGTGCTTTTGAGTTATATCATGTTTTATCAGCCTGAAATTTCCTACAATTTAAAAGGAAAACATATCTTAACAATAGGAGACCGCTGACGCTGACACGGGACGAGTGTAATCTAGAAATATTTGAAGGAGAGAAAAGAGTATGACAATCAAGGAGGCCATAAACGCACCCTAAAATTGTAGGGACGACTGACGATACGGGCCTAAGATATCTTAAATACCAGTCTTCAATAAAAAATAATAATGCAAATTGTATTTTTAAACACATTCAACGCATTTAGACTGAAAATGGGAAATCTGAAAAATCTCACGACATCTCACAAACGGAGGAGGGGAGAGCAAGATCATTTTTACACCTAATACATCAACGTATATCATTTTCTTTTCTCCCCCTTTCTCCCCTCTGGATCCGCCATTGTACTGACGCTTGCCAAACAAGTTTGTGAATGGATCTATTTTCGGCAAAGTAATATATTTCTGGGTTATTCATCATTGAACGTTACAGAAACACAGATCTCCGAAAGGTATAAGAATGACTTTCTCTTAGTTATTCTACTCCCTCATTTGAAGAATTAACCGATCTATTAGATGGAAAGCCAGTTTTCCACCAAATCGTGCATCTAGAATAAAACGTCTTAAAGCTCCTTAATGTAATAAGATGTCCAAATAATGTAAAGTTTTTTGAGAGGAGGCATTCTAGGAAAGTGGCGTAGTGCATTGAAACTCAGAAGCAGAACCGTCTTGCTTCCCACACTTGTAGGTATATGCAATTTCTCATTTTTTTTCATGTATTAAGCATTTTTCAATCAGATTTTGTAAAGAGTCGCGTAAAGTCTATCAACGACTAGGCCATGCTGAATCATGGGTACTCATAGGTACAGCTATTTCAGATTGTCGAACAACAGATGTTTCGCGTTCTAGTGGCCACATCAGAATACATGTATAAGCTATTACCATTACCTTTTATACCATGAGGTTCTCTAACCAGCCATAAAATGACAAATATGTTAAAAAAATTTCAATACCAAAAGCGTCTCTGCTAGACATCTTCATTGAGGAACAACAATCACCCTTTTTGTCGTTTTGAGTCTTTTGAATCATTTTTTAATTCCGAAACTCATGTTTATACATCACAACCTTCAGTGGACAAATATCTTTTCGTTTCTATACTGATTTTTAATGAATACTTACATTGATAGTCAACTCATTCAGGACTTACAGGAAACGTTATCCTTCCTTACTAAAAAACACTCTCCTTTGCAGTTATCAACGGAATAATTTTAACAGCCGTCATATCAGTGATGACATATATTGACTGATGTGTAAATGACAGAAAATCTGATCTGGGCCTTGTGTAGAAGGTCAGGCGGAGAAAACCACTTATTAGCCCTAAGCAAATAGCCTAGCTTTTTCCCAGCAGCTGCCGCTATTGACGAGATGTGTTCATGCCAGATCAGGTCATCGGTGATCTGGACTCGGAAGAGCCGAAATGAACTTCGTAAAAGTACAGTACTGTATTTTGGAAGCATTAAACTGTACAACATTGTTGCGTCCTCAAGCAGTCATAACCTCCAGGGATCGGCTTGTCCCTCTGAATTCCTGCATGTAGAGTGCTGTCATCAGCGAAGTTGTGGATTGGGTTGATCGTGCAAGAAAGGAGGTCGTAGATATGTAAGAGGAACAGTGTCGGAGCCAAGACCGATCCCTGGGGAACACCCGCGGTGACGTTGTCGGATGAAGAAGAGAACCCGTCAATTACGACGGATATCTTGCGGCCAGAGATAAAGTCAGCCACCCATCTGCAAAGCTTTTCTGGAAGGCCACAGGATGGAAGTTTGCTGAAGAGGGCAGCGTGCCACAGCTGATCGAACGCTTTCGTGATGTCAAGATCAACGTCATGAGCCTCACCATAAGACTGGATGAGTTTACTCCACAATTGCGTGGCGTAGGCTAGGAGGTCCCCTGTGGATCGTTGGTGCCGAAAACCATACTGCCTGTCGCTAATCAAGCTGTGACTTTCGAGGTAGTCCAGAAGCTCGCGATTTATGCACCTCTCCATCACCTTACTTATAACAGAAAGCAGAGCTATAGGCCTGTAGTTGTAAGGGTCGGTCTTCGATCCTTTTTTTGGGATGGGTTGGACATGAGCAAATTTCCAGTTTTCTGGGAAGGTGCCGGATTCATAAGATATCTGGAAGAGACGCGAAAGAGCTGGAGCAAGCTCCGCTGCACACCTCTTAAATAAATAAATAAATAGCGTTTATTGCCCAACAGTTAAGAAAACCATTTACAGGACAATCCTAAGTTAAATCAAAATAACAAGAACAGAAAACATCTAAAGAAAAAAACAAACAAGAAAAAGAAGCAAAAAAAACATATTTCACTCAGGTGAGTAACATATCATAAATTATCCAAAAGATTTCTAGCTACTCCCAGAAAACTGTCAGCATGTATATCACAATAATTTGATATTGGATTGAAAGTTTCAAACATCACATATATGGGTGCCTTCAAAAACAAATTTGTGCGATCCCTGTCGCAATAAAATGTTTTAGCTGTACGAGTTTGAATTGATGGAACATTAAAGTTTATTTGAGCCACAATCTCATTAGCATCAATTTGATTGGGCAGTAGTTTATGCAAGAACACAATTGATGCACACTTCCTTCTCAGTTCTAAGGACTGCACTTGAAACCTAGACAATAACAAACTTTCAGATATACCACGTTCAGGATATATACCGTCAACTTTAAAAGATAAAAATTTTAGAAACTTTCTCTGAACATGCTCAAGAGAATCAATGTAGCAGTTGTAAATTGGGTTCCAAATTAACGATGCATTTTCCAATTTCGATCTAATATATGCAGAATATAAAACCAACAGTGACTCTGGGTGGCTAAAGCTTCTACAGTTTCTCACATTAAAACCGTACGCCCGCGAAGCTTCACTCACCTTTTGAGCTATGTGGAGTGAAAAATTAAGTTTATGGTCAAAAACTACACCCAAACCCTTAATTGAGTTATAACGATTTATGTAAGCATCCCCAATTTTATAATTAAATTTACAAGCAGAAGTTTTCCTAGAAAAGCTGACTACACTACACTTAAAAATTATTCACGTCACACCAAGCCACTAGAGAATCAATATCACGCTGAAGTGCAATACAATCAGTCTCAGACTCAATAATCCTGAATAATTTTAAATCATCCGCAAAGAGCAGCTCTTTACAACTTAAATAATGCACAACATCATTAATAAATAAGGTAAACAATAAAGGACCAAGATTTGAACCCTGAGGCACTCCCGATTTAGTTATATACTGGTGCGATTTGAACCTATTAAAAGTAACATATTGCTTCCTTTCATGAAGATACTTTGAATGAGTGCTAAAGCTGATGAATGGAATCCATAATAAAAAAGTTCATTCAAAAGTATTCCATGTCCACCCTATCGAACGCTTTAGCAAAATCGGTACATACTAGATCTAGTTGACCTTGCCGATCGACACATTCAATAGCGAACTGAGTGAAGATTGTTAAATTAATTTCTGTGGATCTCTTAGTAAGAAAACCATGCTGAAAAGGGGACAGTACAATGGCAGGAATCAGGTCCGGACCAGAAGCTTTGTTGATGTCGAGCGACAAGAGCACTCGTCTTGCGGTCTTATGCCTGAATGTTACCTCCCGCATAGGGATCCCTTTGAATTGACTGCACTTGGGCGTTGGGGGGAACGTCCATGGTGGAGTTGGCAGCAAAGATCTTCGCAATTAATTTCGCCTTGGCCTTTGAATCGGATACACAAAAAGTGGTGGAAGGCTACTGTGTGAGAAGTTCTTATCAATCTGCTTGTCAGCGTCCAGAAAGACCGACTGCCATTGCGCTGCGAAATTATCCTGTGCCGAACTTTTATATCGTGCTGGTTTTTAGTATTGCGAACCGCTTCGTTATATTTGTTTCTGGACTCGACGTCGGCTTGTCTGTTCTCTACAGTGGGGTTTTGTAAGAAGGTTCTGTGTGCCTTGGCGAGCAGTGTCACTTTTTAAACCAGTCGTTGGACCCTGGTTTAGGCATTTTCACTGTGTGAGGAATGTATTCCTCCATTTCGACGTGGATAATTTCAGTTATCGGAGAACAGGCAGCCGACGCGTCCGCGCCAGTGAAACATACATCTCTCCAAGGAAATTTAGAAAAGAAATCTCTGAGCCCCTCCCAGTCGGCATGTCCGTAATGCCAAGTTTTGGGGCCTGTACGAGTTTCTGCTGCCACAGCGGGTCTGACCGAAACCTAACCTCCACAACACCGTGGTCTGAGTTACCCAGGGGGGACAGGACAGCAGTGCTGTAAGGGACATGATGCGTGGTCAGAAAGAGAACCAGCAGGCTACTGACGTGTGACGAGACGCGGGGGAAAAAAGTAGGGCTCGTCACCAGCTGAGTCAGCCCTTGAGTAAGAGCGAACGCTTCGACTGCACCTGCTGCATCGGTCTTGTTTGAGCCCAACCAAAGCTCATTATGTGCATTGTAATCACCGAGAAGAACTACTTCTGAAGCGGGGTGATTGATGTTCAGGAAGTCGATCTTAACGGCGAGGTATTCAAGTAGGTCATTTCAGTTATGGTCCGAGGGAGAGCGATAAAGGCAGCAAATAAATTTGGGTGATGTTTTGGAGTTGAGGCGAAGCCACAGAATGTGCTTCCGGTCTGATTCCAAAGAAACATCTCTGGAACCGGAAAGACTGCTGCGGACAAAAGCCACAGCTGTCCCGTTCTTTCTCAGATTAGAGTACACCTCGTAATTTGGGAAGCTAACATGGTTAATCGGTGTAGACTCTGAGATGTTTGTCTCCGCCAAGAAAATCATGGCGGGACGATTTGATTGCAGGTAGTGATGAACTGCATCAATGTTGCTGTTAATCCCGCAGATGTTCGTAAAACAAATTTTATCTTCGATGTTATTTCCTCGAGCCCACCCTCATTTCGAGAGTGGAGTGAGTTTACGTCTGGAATTCTTAGTGCTCGAGGGAGCCATCATCATTAATTTCTTTGTTTTGGAAGATAACCGACTGCATATCTTAGTTGTGGAAACATGCGGACATTTATAAGACATTCTGGGAAAAGCTAACAGGTGGTACCGCCTCAGTCGACTGATCCTTGTCTACCACGTTGTTTTTGCGTGTTAATGATATTAAATAGACGTAAAGTGGCCCGTTAGCGGACTTGTACCGCCACCCGGAAATCGGTATTGAGGTATTTCTTAACGCGTGTACAATCGCTTGAACTGGAAGAAGTTGTATACTGGATAAAACAACTTCCGGAACAAGCACTTGCCTCGGCCCCGCTTAGTAGGGGTATGCATGATACCATTGACTATTTACTTTATACACAGAAATAAAAAACTTAAGCTCAAATGCTGGATATGCTGGACCGCGGGTTCATCAACCGAGTGTAGTTGTAGTCTATTGTAACAAACCTAACCGTCAATCACAGCCTTCCAGTTGCAATTTTGTTGATGTTCAGCCGTTTGCTGGGTCAAGTGTTAAACAGTTGGGTGCAGTGGAAGTCCATACTGACAGACTTAATACTCAAGCGCACCTTGGCAGATTCATTTACATAATATATGGATGTTGGGCGAGCGTAAGCATATCTTCTCATATATATATATATATAATATATATATATATATATAGAGAGAGAGCATCACAATTGTGTTTTCAGAATCCTGAATCAAATCCAAGCGGATAACCAAACTTTCCGTATTATGTACCGCGGTTATAATATGGTTCAAGATGACACACGGGATGATGACGTCAGTTACTCGAATCGCTTGAACGCGTTGGTTTTAACCGCGGATTGTTGCAAGTTGTTTATTTTAGAAAAGCGCGTATATAATTTCGGATTATTTTTATTATCACTTAATAATCGGTGCTTTTTCGTCTACAACGGGGTATGGAAAGTTGAAAAAAAGAAAACTTTCATAATATTAATGGGATGAATGTTTTTTTTTCAGAAAAATTTTTTTACTGATGGAACCATGGCTTTGTAGCTATGATGACTTTCAAATCTCTAAACTTTTCCGCATGTCACAGAAAATATTTATTGATTTAGCAGAAATGATGAAAAAGCGATGAGAAAAAGATATTAACAAAACCGTATACAGGTGGACATCATCCAGTGAGTTTATACGGCCATATTTTAATATTCTTGTGGTATATGGCTATACAGGATACTTTGTTAAGCGTAGGAACAAGATTTAAAGTGTCCCCAACAACAGTAATGATTATAAATAATAAGGTGCTCTCTTATGCTAAAACTGAAGTCAGCCTGTATCAAGTTTCCCAAAAATGAAGCTGAAGTATAATAAAAATATCAAATACCCGGCAAAATTCTAACTTGTCACATGTCAAATAATAACCAGAAATATAAAACTACTCCCGAGTTGGGTAAATACCTCAATTTTGCGGTGATAACTATGACATATAACAGCTGATTCATGACGTCACGGATCTTATAACCAAACTGATAACCACACTCGCTTGAACGGATCGGTAAATACCAATCCAAAATGGTAAATACCATTTCCATTTGGTTATCCGCTTGAATTTTATTCTGAGGCTCCATAGAGAATGCCGAAAGCTTGATTTTATCGTCAAAAGAGTCAACTTATGCCTAAAAATTTGCCAATTTCCCAATTAACAATTAATTGTATTTTATTGCCCAACTGGTCGTTTGCAACGGCAATGACTACTGTTCACGTATATATATATATATGATATTGAGGTGGGTAATAATTCCTTACAACCATTTTAAATCCCCTTATTGTACACACTTGATAAACAAAATAATAAAGAAGTATAATCTTATTTATTCAAAAAACACTTTTCTTAAATCTCATATATTCATCTGGCAAAAATTCTCTTTTCTTTAATTAAGCGGAAACTCTCGTTACCACTTTACCCTCCCCAGACTGAAATCCTGACAGCGCCACTGATAATAGGAAGTGAAACATGATCAGCAAATTTCAAAGATATTGCAATAGTAGTAACGTCTTGGCAACATCGAACAACCCCCTACGTGGATTCTTCATTGTGAGTCGCAGCGTGTAGCGACGGATCCCCACCTTCAACGCTTCAGCGCACGGTGTGGTACGACGGTGCCAAGCACAGCAAAGACTCGCTAGGCTCAAGGAAATGAGCTCAGTTGATAGGTCGGCAACACAAGCAGAACATTCGTCTAGACAGGCGCTACGAATATTTCGATATCTCTAACATGTTATAGATTCTTATAAAATATTGATTATTACGAGTACCTGGACAAGATCGTTAATTAACGTATTTCTACCTGAACAGGTATTAAATATGGCAATGCATATGATCTCGAATGGGCACATATCACCAGAAAGTCAAAATCTGTCGATCTCTAGAGATACATGCTAGGAAACTTTAAAACTGGATATTTTTGCCTTTATAAATAAAACAAGAACAGTATGAGAATCCTAATTTCGGACAGCTCAATGATAGAGCATGTTCTCCACTGTTACATTTGACAACCTTTTTTTACTCGCGTTTTATTCATAACAAAATCTTTTCTTAGCATACGAATTGTCCAGTTTTGGAATTAACTTAACCTGAATATGACTCATGTCGCAGACAGAATAAGAAGTTCCATTTGGATTTTGAAGAAATCTTAAATCTGCGGAGTTAGCCACAGAAAATGTTTAGATTTATTAAGAATTGGTCTATTGCTGGTCCAGCCCTTAATAAATCTCTGAAATATCTGAGGTGGTAGTTTTGAAACGTTTTTCAACAATATAAATTTTACAATAAACATTTAATAGCTCAAATCAAAGGCTTGGGGCCAATGTTGTTTCACACCGTTTATCCTATAGAAGCAGACAGGCTGTTCTAGATTTCGGAATACACAGAAAAATCAGTAAAAAACTGGGAGAAGCGTTATCTCTAGTCACTCACCGTACGCCACTGCTAACACGATATGTTTTTGTTAGGATGTATTATAACGGCTGCTGCAATTGACGGGACTTGCTTGCGCTAATTATATCTGCAATAAGCTGAACCCTCAAAAGCCATTACGAACGGCTTTCTGGCAAAGATAACCGACTATCCATCAAAATGTTGCTTTGAATGTTCGATTTTGTACCTCTTATATATTAATCACGAAACACACTTCCGAGTCCAATATTTGGAATAATTATCTTATTGGATTGCATTGTTGCGCCACCAACTGTCAGAGAGGAAGCGGTTATCGGTTTTCTGCTAAACTCATCTTCAGAGATCGGTCCGGCTATCTGAGGTCATCAATGCGTGACTGGAACAAGGTTTAGTCCTAATGCCCTGCGAACACTGGCGTTGTCGGAGTAACTTTTTAAGTGTCATAATTTGGCATCGTCGCAGGATAGACGGCCTTCTTGAACCCCGGCACCGGGGAGTTGTCAATCGACAATCGGCTGTAGTAGTAGGCGTGTAGTGTGGAGAGTGCGCGTTGTGTCGTTGGCCGGAAGTTAGACAGCAGACTATCGAGCGCTCCGTGCGTTGCCGTTTTGCTGCTCAGTCGCAGGAAACACTGTGCTAATCCAGTTACCGGTAGTCGGTCGGGAATTTTCAAGGTGAGTTTTGTTTATCTTCCCTATAAGGGTTGGATTTTTATCATAAGTCCGCACTTGTTTGAGATTGAATCCTGACAGTTATTTATCAAAGACAGCAGGATAGAACTCACATATACGTTATTAGGTTGCTTCTTTCATCTTTTTTTGCAAGGGGTTGATAATATTGATGAATTTTTGATTGCATATACCATCTAATGGTTGATAATTTTGGGGTTACTATTAGTTTTGATAAGCCGGCGTTTGTTACAATTGTCTTAAATTCTGACAACTTGTCATGGATAGAAGGACATCCCGCAAACACACGTTGTCAGGTGCATCTTATCCAACCGGCATGCGATCGGTATTCCGGCGGTTTGTCATGAACAGTAATATTTTGTTCCATCTTGTCTTTTATAGTGTAAAATGTTTCCATTCGTAAATTAATGAATGAAAGACATTTTAAGAAACTGTCTTTGTCGGAAAGAATAATCTGTTTCAGGCTGCTACAATGTCAATGCGGCTGCCGCAGGGATGGGTTCTAGCTCCCAAATTGTTTCGGTTACACGTTAATGATCTTTCCAGAACGAAAAATCCTATTTACCAGATTACATGTGGACATTTAGTGTAAAACTGAGCTTTGGATAGAGATAAGATAAAGACATATGAATATATTCTTTGTGACACATGGTGTTATCTGATGTTTGCAAGGGTCTGGTGAAGAATAATAGGTGTACTGAGAACTGCACCATCAGTGGATCTTGGCACACTCTGGGACCTGCCGCCCTCAAAAGTGCGGATGAAATCTTACGGGTGACGGGTGGACACGTCTTCGGTCAGTATGATTTTTGCGCTCGGACATTCAAACAGCAGTGAAGGCAGACATTTCTGCGCTCGAAATCAACTCATCAATATGGTCTAGGAATGAGCCACGAATATTCAGAAAACAGTTTGTCCCAAGAAAGGAAGGAAGTGACCATATTCTGGTTCCCCAAGCATAGCGAATTGCTGGGTAATTAGCTCGTCAGGTTATGACCTGAAAACTAACTGGGAAGGATATGGAAACAGAAATATGGCAGGTGAAAGATAACAAAACTTTTCCAATAAAATCATGTAATATTGGTAGAAATTAACATTTCAAATATTCCATCGTTGAACATATCTGAATAATCACCAGGAGATACAAAACTCAAGTACTCTGTAAGCAATTTCTGATTGACGTAAATCCAACTACTTTTGGAAGAATGATGGATAGCATTGATTAGAGAACTCAAACTAACTGATAGCAAGAACCGCTTTCTTTCGATAAAGATTTTCGTTGGATTTAAAATGATATCAAAATAGAAATTTATTATCTAGGCAATGATGTCGCAAGTCGCAGAAAATATGAAGCATACCAATAAATTAGTTATGCAATAATATTCATCAATGCATACTTTGACTTCCTACGCCACTGGCCGAGGAAGTACTGTAATCGCAAAAAAATTCGAAAATGAGATATTATCTTTTTTGGATGTTATATGACATGTATATCACGAAAAACCACGTCGTCACTCATTTCCGCCGGTCTGTCGGTTTGTTCGCTAATCTTATAACCGCCTATAACTTGAGAAGCACCTCTCAGATTTCGGTAAAATTTTTACACAATATTCCTACTATTCTAAGGACCCAAAAGTTTAGTAGATTTTGAAAATCGCTCCTATAGCAGCGGAGCAGGCCAAAAACGAAAAAAACAAAAATCGAGGAAAACTTAGTTTTTTGACGTTTTGGAGGCTCCTGATAATTTTTAGAAAATTTTTTGTGGAGTTGAAAGTTTGGGAATGAGGGTTGTATGATGTGGGGGAGGGTATATGGAATTTTTTTGATCTTAGTATATTCACATGCTCCCAACCCCGGTAATTATATGCACCATATTTCACCCATCATAGATTTACCCGTGCATTTGCCTCTAACACTTAGAATGATGGAGAAATGTTTTTGATCAGCCTGAAACGAGTTTGAGCGATTTTTATTTTTCTGTTTTTGGCATTTTTTCCGCTGTTACTGGACCGATTTTCGAAAAATTCAAAGCTTTATTGTTTTTGGCTTAGTAGTGACATTGTTTAAAAATTTCTTTGTAATTCGAGCTTTTCACTTCTCAAGTTATAGGCGGTTATACGATTAGCGGACAGACCGACGGAAATGAGTGACATGGATTTCAGTGATGTATATGTCATAGAACCTCCAGAAAACATAATGACTCAGTTCCGAATATGTTCGCGATTACAATACTTCCGGCCAGTAGGCGTGGGAACTAAAAACATACGGAACGAATGATAACTCGCTGCAGCGATGCCGCGCAGATGTGGAAGGGACAACGTTGCCACATGATCAGTAACTACAGTAGGGCAGGGAAAGGATATCGATGCACTAATTGTATGGGTTTGTTTGACTGACGTAATACGTTTAATATCTCTGTTGTACATATCCCTAACTCATTCTTTTTCAGAGGACTTAAATTGCGCTGAACTTAATCTTTAATGAACACGATGACTGCGTTGCATAGGAAGTGCAGAGTCAACCAACTTTCATCGAAAAATATCGAACGGGTCATCAGGCAATGACAGTAATTCAATTTAGCAAGTATAAGTTATCTTTGGGTACCAACGGCGTTAAAGCATGGAAAACTACCGGCAAATGTAATACATATTTCATATGGTTATTCCCCGGTTTAATACAGTAATAAATTGCTGTAGCATGTAGTGGTTATTGGTTTGACAGTTGAAATTTATAAATGATGAGCAATTTGATCCTGGCATCTGAACGTTTCTATTTGGAACTAGCGCAGATGTAGTACTTCGCCACCCCAAGCCCGAAGGATTGTATCTTATATTATTTCGTCAAAAGGCAAACAACATAGTTTCCTTTAGAAGTAATATTTCTCGCATTTCAGATCCTTGTACTATAATATGCAATGTTAATGGTCAACAGTCAAACGGTATGTTGCGACAACAGTTCTGGGTGGGCTTTCACGTTCTCGGAGGGTGTTAAGCGTTTTCGGGACGACGGGCGAGGGTGACGTATTTGGTACATAAAAAAACGACAGATAACCTCATGGTTGCTTGTCGCTTTGGGAGGTTCAACGTCCTTTGGGAGCGGGAAGGCCTATCCCAGGCGATCCTGGAAATTTATGGTTTTACGCGGTGCTATCTTAAAATTATAATATGGATTCGTGCAATCTATACAGGGTGTCCGCAAAGTTGGGGTTTTCCTTTTCAGACACAACAACGCTTGACATAACAAAGCTAAAGTGTGGTGAAACGTGAGCGAACAAGTAAAAAAATAAATAAATGAAAAAGTACTGACTGTTCAGTTGAATAGATATTCCAAGTACAGCTCTGTGGACGTGATCAAGGGATAGGGCAGGACCGGCTTCGGTTTGGTTCAGGTTTGAATGAGTTTGCGGAGCCCAATATTAAGGTTCTCTTAAGTCTTAAGACATTGGTGTATAAGATCTACACGTCGTGTAAAGGAAAACCCCAACTTTGCGGACACCCTGTATATATGGCAATAAAGAAAAAATAAATTAACTTTCACCTGAAAGACAGATAAACAAAATATATTGTAATTGATTGTCATTATACTTGAAAAAGGCTACCGTAGTGGCCAAAACCTCTTACGGTAAACGTTAATTGAAACATATTATTTGGTTTGATTTAGAGGCTAGACAGTGGAGCTCTAGTTTTTACTGAGTCACATTTTATTAATCGTGTGTCTTAAACCGTATAAGTAAAATTATTAATATTGTTATCTCTGGTGCAAATAGGGAACTATTTATTGACACGTTGAGAAAGTGGTTTTCGGTTCAATGGACTACTTTGCTTCCTATAAGTACACGTCTGCATGCCTTTACAAACAATACAAGTTAATAATCATTGCAATAAAATGTTCAAATTATATCATAAAATATATGGAGAATCTTATAAGCATTTTTAATTTTATCATAAGTGTCGGAAACGTCATTTTTATTATTTTTATTTTGATTAAATAATGTGCAATTATTTCATGATAGTTCAACTTATATCGTTAAAGTGTCATAATCACTAATTATCGCAAGTTTTAAGAAATCAGTTTTGAAACTACCTAGAGTATCTATAATTTAGATAAAAAGTAAAGATATAAACGAATAGTACGTTTTCCAATAAAGATCAATGGAATGGAGTGAAACAGGATGTTTGTGAGGTATCAAAGAAATTATTACTTTCCACGTCTATTGGCGCAAAAAATTTCGAAAATGAGATGTTATGTTTTTTGGATGTTATATCACATGTACATCACGAAAAACCATGCCACTCGTTTCCGTCGGTCAGCTGATCTTTGGAGTTCGTTTTTTGACATTTCAGCGGCTCTTGATCAGAAAAAATTTGTAGTGGTTGAAAATAGGTGCTTTGGGGTTGTAGTAATTTTATGCAGCACTTATCAGTACATATTTCACACATTAAATGTTTTCCCGTATATTTGCCGTAATAACTTATATAAACAATTTATAGACGAGACACGCGGTTTGTCGGGACGATGCGGTGCACCGGCGGCTTTCATACACCGAACCCTGCCTTGCGTTTGACAGCATTGCCGACAGGGCTGTTATAGTATCGTGCGCTACCGTGTTTGAGTGGTGTGAGCCAGCAGCGTTGCCAGATGGTCGATACTTAGGGCATTGAAGAAACTAGCATTAGCGTTATCTCATCAAGTAGATGAGGACTACGGAGTATTTTCTAATTGTATATGGGACTGTTTCTTTCATGAATTGATGTCAGCTTTGCGTGGGAAGTGCAGAGTGAACGTACTTCACGCCATTTTTTTTATTTGATACGAGTTTTAGTTTTAGATTACTCTATCTCATGTTATATAATGGATTAGATTAGAGTAATGGTATTTGACAGTAACCAATGTTGTTTCATGATTTTTAGCAATCACCAGTACGATATGGGTATAGTAACCTACCTACCGATCTTTGCTTCACTGGATTGTAGCTTATTGGCGTA